TAAACTTTGGTTTATTGCATGTTGAAAGTATGATATTTAAGAAAAAATTTAACTGTTTTTATAATTTAAATTTAGTATTTTGGTTTAGTAAGGGGATATTATAACAAATAAAGATGAGGAAATAAGTAATCACAGCTCTTCAGTAGCTTGAAACGGTTCAGAAGAAAAGGTTAACTAAATAATCCCTACATTACAGGAAACAAATCTATAGTATCTATAAATTTCTATCATACCCAGAATGTTGTCCTTGAAATATATTTAAAGTATTTAAGATTATTTACGATTGTTTTGCCAACATCTTTACTGAAATTCCTCTGACTCTTCTTTCTCATAACTTAAAACTCATAAATCGAAACATAAAAGAAGCAAATCTTTAATAACTCCGCTAATTAGGTCACCTTTGAGGCAACAGAGATTGTTAACTGGTTAAAGGAGGAGCATGGCCATTCATCTGCCCAAGTGTTTCTTGCTCCCTCGTCTCATAAAAATTTCTGAGTAGCACAAATTAAGCCATTTTGGGTGGTAATAAATTCAACTGACTCACACTCCCTGCCATGCGGCAGAGAAATGTAGTCTTGCCTGAATGCTCGGCGTTATATGAACGATTGTTTAATCCTATATATAGACCTGGGACCAAGACCAAGACATCGAGGCGTTGGCCGCAGATCCAGCTCGGGATCTCCGACTGGAGCTGGGCCAACTTCATTGCCAGTAGCTGGAGCTGGCCAGGCTGTCTGACTGGGAGTACGGGTTTCCAGTATGTGTGTTAGGAGAAATTCGGTCAAATGGCACAAATATATTGTGCGCCGTGTGTTACGTTTGTTGCGCAACAGCAGCCGGAGCCCCGAATTGCGAACGGGATTGGTATTAGGATTGGGATTGGGCTTTGGGAACCGAGAGTGGAACTGGAACTGGAACTGGGCCTGGCGCTAGCCGCCTGCCGCCTGGCGATACTTGCAAATGAATGCATTATCGGGGCGCACATTTATTCGCCAAGCTTCAGCCTATATGCACACAGATTCATTATGTGTCTCTCGGCCTTTCTAAGCCAAATGCGGGCCAGGCCAGGCCAGAAAATATTGCAACACGCCGGCGAGGCGGCCAAAAGCGAGGGTGTCGGGTGGCCATAGCCATAGCCATAGCCATTGCCTCGCCTCCAAGTCCGATCTCCGGCTGCCTGGGATCCGACTGACATAACTGGTCATTGGCTTGCAGCAGCTCCAGCTCCAGCTTCAGCCTAAGCCTCAGCTCCAGCTCTGGCTAAGGACTCGGCGATGCCACTTAGATGCAGCTGCACAAACTGGAAATTGGCAAATACAGCTAGCACGAACAGCAGACGGCCAAAACCGGATTGGCAATAGCTCACCGCGAAGCTGTTCGCAAAAAAGCCTGAGCTCGCAATTTAAGCAGCCTCAGCAATGCGAGGTTCACTTCGTTTCGGGCCACAAGGAGCTGTAGTTGATGCACTGAGAAAATAGTAGCGATATATAATATATTTTTAGAAATTTGTATTATGGGTGTTGTTAAAGGGATATAAATATTTCAAGCCATAAGATTAATAAAGCTTAAAGAAAATGATCAACAAAATATTTAAAAAAATTATTGCCGAGTAAATTTCAAGTTTTTCATGTAAACAAAGATTTTTAAGTTTCCTAAAGTTTTACGGATTAAGTAGAATCTCTAGAAAGTCTTATCTCAGTGTACGGCCTCTGCTACTTCGACTGCTGCTGTCTGTTTGGCCAGTTTTGTAATTACGTGGAGCACACACGTGAACGCTAAGGGCCAGCAAATGCGGCCAGCAAATGATCGCAGGCCAGGATTTGGTCAATGATTCGCCGCCAGTGGCTACTGTCTGCAGGCTCCTCCGATTCGCGATTCTCCAGCGTTCGGGGCAATCAGAGAAGAACCCATTCTTCGGACCCAGATTGCCACTGTGTGTCTGTCGGACGGAGCCCCTCAATTTGCCCAACAGCTCTGCGGGATGAGTGCAAAAAGCCTACACTGTCATTTCAACACCGTTTAATGTCCGCTGTCATTTGTGTCAGCGTTCCGGTCCGAGCTTTATCATCTTTCACGCTGTGTGTACTTACCAATTTGAGCGATTTGGGCTAAGAAAACGAAAGCCGTCTCGATCTGTTTCTCGATTTCCTTCGCTGGCCATCTGAAAATGCGAGAAAAAAAAGGCACATTCCCTAGGGTTTGCGGAATTTTCATTAGAATAATGAGTTTCCAGAGCGACGGCAGCAAGTAGACCAGAAACACGCCGACAAGCTGCGAATCGTTTTGTAAGAGCAAAGTGCTGACTCGCGGTGAAATGCGTCTAAAGTACCGCTTGTAATTGTCGCACATGATTAAACGTAATAAAATCTCTCTGCGTTTAGACAGTCGAGACGTGACCGCTTGAATGACCGCGTTCCCCGGCCAACGATGACCGATATGATGACTCGAGAACGAAACCCCGTCGTAGACGTAGCCCAATTATATGCCATACACGGGTTCTTTCTTTCATTTGGGCCGGGAAGCACATACTCTTAACCAGGCACGAGCTGTCCAGCCCGTCAGGTAGCCCCATAAACCGGTGACTCTATTCAAAAGCAGATGAATCGACACTTCACTCGGCTTTAATTGCGTTCAGTTACATAAAGGTCATCGTGGTTTTTATGAGATCAGCCACAAAAGGATCTCAAGATATGGTATTCTCTCGGTCACAAACAAAACGAAAGTTATTAAGTTATAATAATTTTTAATTTTATATAACTTTGTTGACCATGAAGTTTGTAGGTTAGCCAATTTCGTTAGTTATTCCCAGAGTATTAGAAATTTAATTTGTATTAAATGCCATTAGAGATTTTGATAAGCGATCCCAAGGTCAATATTTTATTGAATTGTTTGCTGAACTTTATTGTGATATAATTATGAATTTAATCACATTTTTTGATAAGCTTCAAATTTCTTTTCTTTGTCTTTTTGGGAAGAGTTTAAAGTAGTTAGACTACCATTAAAGCTTTTACTTCTTACTCATGAAATTATAAACAAATATTGCATTTTATAGGATCGGAAAGCAATAAATTTAAAATCTTTACAATCATAAATATCATTACCAATTATATCTAAAAAGTAACTAAAGCAATTATGAAAGAAATGTAATGTAAGCGATAAAATCGATTGAAATTTTCAACGAAGATCTGTATACAAAAGTAATTAAGGCCACAGATCCATCATTCATTCTGGTTTAATCTTTTAAAGCCATAAATGTGGCTCTGAATGAGTTAATCTCCGTTACAGTATATAGTATATAATATTCGGCTGCCAATTTATATGAACTAACGAGGATCTGCACAGATTAATGGTGCCGATTGTAATGGCCAAGCTAAAATAATTGAGACAGGAGATCCCTCTTCGTTGTGCGCCGTAACCTTTTAAAGTGCTAAGTTCATAATTTATGCCCATTTCAACATATTGCCAAACCGCTTTCAGCCAAATCATTTCTCTGGCTCATACGCGAGTAAGTGGCCCAAAAACACAAGTACTTCAGCTCTCCAGCTCCGGCTCCCCAGCTCCGGCGGCGGAAAAACATTGACCAACTGGTCTTAATCGCTGTGAAAAGTCGTTGCTCAGAGCGATTGCATAAAGCCGGGGACCGAGCCAGGGTATTTTGTTAATTAATAATATTACAACTCGGCCTGCTGTTTGAGTATTTTGTTCACAGTGCCAAAAACAGAGCGCGGTGCGACAAATAGGCATTCGTAGATCTCTTAATTGCATTATTTATCAGCCGCCGCACAAATTGCTCTCTTCTGTTGGCTGCTGGCTGTTGGTTGTTGGTTGTTGGTCATGGCTACATGGCTTAAGGAAAAATGAAAGTGCTGCAGTATTAATTATGAAATCTAATTCGATTTCGTAGCCGCTGCCCAAGTCCGCCCCGAACGGAAAATGAAAGTAGACAAAGTGGACGGTCGGTCAGCCGTCTCGCGGACCGGAATCCGGAATCCGAGCTAAACTTTAGCAGTTCACACTTGCATTCCCCCAGCCGATGCCGAAACAGAAACCAAAGCCGAGACCGAGACCAAGACCGAGTCCAAGCCGATCCCAAACGGTGATGCAGTTCCCGACTTTGAGCCCGACCGCATTCGACTTGGCCCACAAACAAAAAAGTTATGCATTTGGACGATGATTCGGCGTGGTTTGTGGCTTCGGTCACCATTGCATTGCACAACCGATCCCCCGATCATCTAGTAGACCTTTTCTCAAAATTATAGATACAGATCAGCTGCCTGGGATTCGATTTAATTGATCAATGATGATGCATTACAAGTTTTCTATTAAAATGGACCCCTAATTGAATTACCTTGAGACCCCGAATTAACACTATCGATTCGATACGCATTGCGTTATAATTAAATATTAATAAGCAGTTTAATGGGGGCAGGAAAATTTCAATTTTCATTTTGTTATTGGGTTTAGATGTAATGTAATTGTATTACGAAAACAAAAAGCACTAGTTAAACAGTGAAACTTGCAGAAGTATAAAAGAAGTCTTAAGAAGTATATATTCATTTTTAATTTTCTTTTTTTTTTATCAACATTTAACTTTTTATGATAATTTTGACGATTACCTTACTGAATGGTGTTAATGTTGAATAAACAAAAACAGATTAAACGTAATCACCAACAGCTTGGGTGTTATTTGCATTTGTGGCAAACAAATATAGTAACTTCATACACAAAAGCTTCATTAAAAAGGTAAACGTTTATTTATCACGAAATTACAATTAAAGCAAAATAATAGCCTTTAATAAGGCTAACTAAATAACTTGATGTATATTTATAAAACGAAGGTTAAGCAACTCCACAGGATCTCCACTGCTGAAGTTGACGTTTTAACACCAATTTTAATGAGAGATTAAGCATCTTAATTATCTTAAGAGGTTCTAATCGATCGTAACTCTTCTTAATGACTACTTAACCTTAATATTTGGCAAACCCCTTCCTCATTGCAGAAATGGCTTCCTCTAGTAGCAGTCAGCCGGAGCAGAGCCGGTCACATGCCATCCCGCTATGCCGCCTGGGAACGGAGCCGAGCAGCCGGACGACGGCTGAGGCGGAGGAGCCCAGCGAGCGGCGGGAGTGCTACTACTACAGCCCGACCACCTCCCCGCATCGCCATCATCGTCATCCTAGGCATCACCATCATCATCATCATCATCATCATCACCAGAGCCAGCAGATGCACGGATGGCCATCGCGGCTGGGTCCCTGGATCGGACCCTGGCTGGGCGCAATGACCGCCTATCGGCTGCTGACAATCAGCCTCCTAATTGGCATTCTGTGTCCACATCACGTCCAGGGAGCGGACCCCAAGTTCGATCCAACCACGCGCATGCGCCTGGTGCTGGTGCCGGCGGACGCACAGGTCAACTCGGTAATCTACAGGTTGCGTGCCACCGACGAGGAGTTCGACTATCCGCTGACCTTCGAGTTCGTGGGCGATGCCAGCGCCTCCACGGTCAAGGTAGAATCGCTGCCCTGCACAAAGTACAACTCGGTGTGCCAGGCGAATATCGTGCTGCAGCGGAGGCTGGAGCCCGGACGCTACTATGACTTCCAGGTCTCGGTGAAGGACACCAAGGGCGGCATGACCACGCAGCTCTGCTCAATTACGGCCACCAACTTCACCACGCCGCACGACCTCATCTTTCCGCACAAGCCCGGCATCATAATGATACCCGAGGTGAGAACACTTCCCATATACCAGCTCTTATTTTCCCCATTTTCCCGGCTCCTCCCCCTGGCCACATGTGCCTTCGGTTAGAACGTTTCAATTACCAATTACAAATAACGCCCGTGAAGAAGTATGTGCACTGGGGAAAAACTCACAGATCCGCTAGCTGCAGCCTTCTTCCCAATCAGATATATCTCTGACATCTTCAAAAATAAATTGCAGGAGAATAAGCCATCCCAGGTCATTACCTAACGTTTCTGGCACTTGAAATACCTCGAAACAGTAAATTTAAACATATAATATAGTAATGAGTGGCTTTAGGCAGCATTTTCTCCGAGTGCTCTGCGCTTTAATGAAGCAGTAATCAGATAAGCCATTAGAGGCACGTCCCCCCAATGGGAAGATGCTATTCGTTTTCATAAGCGATGCTCGTACACGATAATCATTGTTATGGTGCAAAATTACAAGCAGATATTCGGACAGGGTCAAATGTGTAATTTTCCCCAACGAAAAGCCAGCCAACCAACATATCCGAGCTATAACCCCGATTTATCTTTTAAGGATGCTAAACGCGGCACGGAATTGGATTACGTAATTGCCCGCAAGAATCCACTGTTCCAGAAACCAGTCTACCTCGAGTTATGGGTAAGTGGATACGGAGACCCCTAACCCAACGGGGCCTTTGATTTATAACTCGTCCTCTGCCGTCCTTCTCGCCGACAGGGTTCTCCGCTGTTTGCCATAAGACAGAAAATCGTATCTTCCGAGACCACAGAAGGCACTGTTTTCCTCCTAGGACCATTAGACTTTGAAAAGCAAGCCATGTACCATCTAACTATACTAGCCAACGTGAGTAACGAAAGAGAGAGACTTATTAAAAGAACATATACAAGATGTGAACTCATATCCGGTCGTTCACAGGATGCCTATGCCGAACCTGGTCAAGACAGTCGCAATATAGCAGGCATGGAGATAGTAGTCATCGTCCAGGATGTCCAGGACCAGCCGCCAGTGTTCACTTCCGCTCCGCCAGTCACCAAATTGCCACCGGGCATACTGCCAGGAGATAAGGTACATACTACACAAAGCTTCTTAATGTTCAGATTCTGATTTTGAAGAGAACTCTATATAGATACTGCAAGTGCATGCCGAGGATGGCGACAAGGGAAATCCCCGGGAAGTTCGCTATGGCTTGGTCTCCGAGAACAATCCATTTACATCGTTTTTCGACATTAACGAAACCAGCGGTAAGTAGAGATATTATTATAATATTACCAATACTATTATCAACTCGAATCCAGAAGCTTATTTAATAACAGATTGCACTATCTAACCTTTGCCGTTGCCAAGTAAACAAATAACACACTTTAATTCACCTTTCGAGTGGCTCTGCAAGATGCAATGTGGTCACTCGCAAGAATGTTTGCATAATACTTACACCCTGCCCACTCCGTCCATCGTCCAGCGGCCGTCGTCGAGTGTAATAAAATAAGATAACATCTTCATGGGACACTGATAGTGCATAGATAGAGGAAAATTTCAGTTTTCTGCGGGCTTAGATGCACTGCAGATTCCCATAGATCCATAGATCCATAGAGGAGGCAGAAGGCAACAAAAAGTCCCTCCTCCTTGGCCTGCCTTTTGCAAATATAGTCGCAGGAAGCAAGAAAAATGGTCTGCGCATGGGCAGCGGACTTAAAAATATTGACCACAAGTAAAGCAAGCAAAATAAATTGGACGAAAATCAGAAACCACAACAGCCAGACGGAGAGAGAGACGGAGGTGGAGCTGTGGGGAGGTACTGGCCGCAGAACAACGTCAGGTAACCGATATTAACATAACTACCAGGTGGCTTCGAGGCGAGGCGGAGTGCCGGAGAGGGAGCTTCGAGCACGGAGCACCGGGCACGGCAACCCGCTTTGTCGTCAGACTCGTTAGATAGAAGCAGCCAGCTCCTCCAGCACTCCACTGCACTGTGGTTCCCCGACTCCAGGCACTGGCACTCCAGCGACTTCCTCCGACGTCCGCAATACCCGTTCGTTGCGGCCAAGTTCTGTGCCGCAATTTGGCTTGCGTCCCATACCCCCCCTTTTGCGACCACAAATTCACAGAGACTTCCTTGTTTCGTGCTAGTCTCGTCTCGTTTCGTCTCTTCTCTTGGCTTGGCAGTAGCACTTTGATGACTTTGGCTATGACGCCGCGACTCGCGCTCCTCACATAATGGCCAGGCTGTCTCCACCTCCGCCTCCTCCTACCTCCTGCATCAGCAGCTCCTCCTTTTGCTCCTCCCTCTGCCCCAGTCAGCCCACAATTTCTTCAGTGGGAAGCAGTTTTGTGAACGGCCTTTGAGGCCTTCCACGAAGATTCACAGTTTACTGGCTGCTTGTTCCAAATGAATTTCAAATTGGAATCCCTTCGGGGCAAAGCAATTAACAGCATTATGGTCGATATTCCCACTTCCCAGATTTATTAATAATGGTTTACATACCAGCACCCAAAAGGAGGTCTTCTAAATCGGTATTTTATTCAGAAGAAAGGACTGGGAAATATATAATATAATAATCGTGATACTTGAGAGATTTACTAGTTACTAGGAATAAAAGGAAAAATAATTAAACTGATATAAGACCTTGATAATTTCTTCCTGTGTAGTGTTTATACCTAGTTTTAGGAACACGAAAACGCGACTTGCAGCCACGCAATAATTACTTAACGGCATAAATGCCAGAAAAATATGGAGAAGCTCTTAGAGAAAAAGCGTCTACCTGATTAAGAATTCAAATTGGGAACCGTAAACCAACTTAAACTCTACTCAGAAAGGTTAATTTGGCAGTTCTAAGCCTTGAGAATCTGGGCAAGACCCTGCTACTGCTTCGGCTTATCCCCAGAAGGTTTATGGGTGGGAAACTTTTCTTTCTGGCTGCACAGAATCTTAGCATATTACTCAACGGCCACCGGGGAAAAAGTACAAGGAGACCATAAAAAAAGCGTTCAATAAAAAATTGGAAAAAAAGCATAATCAACATGAACTGAACTTGGCGTGGGAACTACCAACTTTCTGCACCATTTATCAGGTTTACTGATGATGGCTCCGTAAAAAAAAAAAGAAGGCAACCTCTTTGGCGTTCACGGCTGCCCTGCAGCATTGAGTTTTCCTCTCTTTTTTCCTTTACGCAAATTAGCAGGGAGGAAATGCAAAAAGAAAAGAAGTGCATTTCCCATACTTGACCTTCATAACTGATGTGTCTCAGCCTTGGTAGTTAAAGGGTTAAGAAATGTACTTATATGAAGGTAAATAAAGGAGGGAAAATAACAACTATTTGTAGGTGAAATATTTAGTTATTTGGCTTAATTATAAACTAGTTAAGGAATTATAAAGAAAGTGGAGAAAGTATATTTGTACCCCTTTAAGCTTTACTTTATTATTATTAACAATTAACTCTGACATCATACATTTTGAATGGTCTTGTCTTGCAGGTGAGATCTTCCTGATGCGACCCCTCGAGGACATTGCCTTCATCACGCATGTGGGTGATCCGGTGCTGCTCACCGTAATTGCGGAAGAGGTTAAGGTGGGTCGTGACGAGCCGCCCGCACTGGCCTCCACGGTCCAATTGGCGTTCTTTCTGCCCGATCGCACCAATTCGCCGCCGTACTTCGAGAACGATCAGTGAGTACTATTACTATGCCAGCAGGTTCCCATTGGGACAGCTGGGGGGAGCTCAGCGGGATTTTCGGGGGAATCCACATCGAACTTCTGGGGGGCGAGGGCAAGGGCAAACCTGCTCAACCACTATGGACTTGGGGCTCTGGTCCCTGGAAGTGCAATTTCGCGAGGTAGGAGTGATGTTGCTTATCCAAAAAAAGGAGAAACAAAAAACAAAAACAGAAAACGGAAAACAAAAAAGACACCAAAGCTGCTGCGACCAACACAAACAACAAATTTTAGCCGCGTCCATTAGCATAAAGTCCTAAAATTCTTAGCATAGGCTCCAACGATGACGGCGATGGCGACAAGACGACGACGAGAAGACTCAGGGAAGACTTGGGAGACGACGACGACCAAGTCGAAGACGAGCACTATAAACTCTTCTGCTGAAATCAGCGACTGCAACCTCCATTTATGCGCACTAACTTTGAACTCCAGTCCGTCGTCCCAGCCGAATTCCCGACAAACTGGAAACTGCCAACTGCTAGTCCAGACTGCAGTCGGAAAAACGTTGGCCATTTACTGGGAAAATATTCTATAAATTATAAGTGAATTGCTTGCTGCAAATGGAACTTTATGGATACCTAATGAAAGGCATTTGTGGAATTTACAAATTGTTTATAAACTATTAAGGGGAATTAGAAAAGTCTTTAACTACTCAAACTTAAGTTTTTTTTTGTTAATTCAGAGATTTTGAAATTACATTTTTTGTAATCATTTTATAAGTACCTTTTTCGTTAAGTTATTTTCGGGAACTGTAAAACAAAAATGTCGCTATTAATTGCCCCGCCAAAGTGACGGAAATGCTGACCAATCTTTTTTTGGACTGTAGAACTAGCTTGTCGCACGCCTTTACAACAGTGTACAGCGTTCACGAAGTTCTTTCTCCATGCTAATCTCTGGCTCACGACTTTTCTCTTCCTTTTGTTCCTCCTCCTGCCTGGTGCCTTCCTCCTACCCGCAGCTACGTCTCGAGGGTGGACGAGAACGCCCCGCAAGGCACCGCTCTGACGTTCGTTGATCCCTACGTGCCGCGGGTCTACGACGATGATACGGGCAAGAACGGCGTCTTCTCGCTGACGCTGCTCAACAACAACGGCACGTTTGAGATCTCGCCGAATGTGGCGGAACGGAGCGCCGGATTCCTCATCCGGGTACGGGACAACTCTCTACTGGACTTTGAGCAGCGCCACTCGGTGCAGTTTCAGGTGCTGGCCCAGGAATTGGGACCGGCCACCAATCTCTCGGCTCTGGTCAACGTCACTGTGTATATCAACGATGTGAACGATAATGCTCCTGTTTTCGAGATGCCCGCCTACTCCGTGGAGCTCCCTGAGAATATGACAGCGGGCACAAAGGTGGTACAGGTCCTAGCCACCGATCCGGACTCGGGTCTGGGCGGCAAGGTGCGCTATACGGGCATCCTGGGCTACCTAAACACCTCGCTTAACCTGGATGCGGAGACAGGCCTGATTACGGTGTCCACCAACAAGCACGGCTTCGATAGGGAGGTGATGCCCGAGTACCATCTTTACGTGGAGGCACGGGACATGGATGGCGAGGGCAACCGAGCTCAGGTGCCTTTGATTATCAAGCTCATCGATGTCAACGATGAAACGCCCATCTTCGACAAGGATCTATACGAGTTCATTCTCGCTCCCGACCTGCTGGGCTTCACCACCACCGCGGTGATCCATGCCGAGGACAAGGATGCCACTGCTCCGAACAACGAGGTGCGCTACGAGATCATCAATGGGAACTACGACAATCAGTTTGTCCTGGACAAGGTATCCGGTGAACTGACCGTCAAGGAGAGGATTCACCTGCGGTCTAAGAAGAATGCCAAGACGAGAAGACGTCGCCAGACGGGCTCGGACGAAGAAGACACCGATATATTCATCCTAACCGCCAGAGCATACGATCTAGGCGTGCCTGTGCGCTTCTCCACCACCACGATCCGCATTTATCCACCGGAGAGCCGCAAGCGAACGGTCACCTTTGTGGTGCCGGGCCACCATCCAGACAAGGCCAAGACCGAGGAGACGCTCTCAGCCATCACGGGCGGCAAGGTATATATCCACAACATGCGACCATTGAGACCCGATGAGCCCGGTGCCAAGGACATACCAGCGGGAAATTCGGGTGTCAAGGAGCGCAGCGTAGTCACTGCCACTGTAATATACGACAGCTCCTCGGTGGTGGACATATCAGAGATACAGCAACGACTCTCGCAGCACAATAACTCGTATGCCATCATGCCGCAGGACACTTCCTCCACGGACGTAAGTGAATCCCGGGAGGATCGGTTGGCTTCATTGCGTTTAATAGACTCTCACCCCCTTGCAGACCCAATACAAGGCGGAGAACAAGGTGCTCTTCTGGTTGCTCATCCTGCTGGCCACTCTGGTGGCTCTGACCATCCTGATCCTGCTGCTCTGCTGCATCTGCTCCTGGTGTCCCCTATACGGGGCGGCGACGTGAGTAGCTTCTTAACATATTTTAATTTTGGGGAATAATCTGTGGATAGGTCACACCCATATTATCCCTGATCAGAAATCGGATATTGAAAAACTATAACTCTGCCTGTCATTATCCATAGTTTATGTATTAAAAGTATTAAAATGAACCAAGTCCAACTTACTAAAACTGTATAAACTGCATAACGACTTGTTGATTCCATCACTTAGTCGATAATAAAAGCCGAATCATAAATTAAAAATATTCCGAGTGCATTGAAAACTTGTTAGCACTCTTACAATTTAATAGTGGCAATAATATTTATTAAAACTTTTCGTGGTTCAATTAGTCATGGCTTGAAACAACCGTTGAATATTTACGATGCCCAATAATCGTTAAGATTGTAAAGCGGCAATTGCTGACATCGGTTTATTAACTGAATTAAAAGCAGCGCCACCGCCAAGTATTGAGTCCAACTGACAAACGAGTATTTTAACATTCCTGCGATAATCCACATTTACGTATTACCAACATCACAACCATTCTATCTATGTATAATCTTTTATTCTTCTCTTGTAGCAAAAGAATAGTTAATATCAGTAGAACTGAAGACGATGTGCATCTAGTGCATAGGGAAATGGCAAATGGAAAACATACAAAATCTGTTCAGGTAGATTTTGAACATTTTCGAATTCAATTGTAGTAGTAAACGTAATGCAAACGCAAACGCACTTAAAAAATCTTACAAAATTGCAAAAGCTCTCAATTTTTAAGTTTTTCATTTTTGATTTCCTTATTGACTACGAAAATTTGACATTTCTACACAAAATTTGCACATAAAAAACCCCGTATTGGATGTGGAAGTCTGTCTAACTAACCTGGCAAAGGGATATTGCACAGAGCAGTTAGTGTTAACAATTAAATGAATTAAATAATAATAAAATTAAATAAAAAATCTTGTTTCTGTGTCGTAAATGTCTTTAATGCCCATAACTATATTGTTATATCGTGAAATCTGATATGACTTTTAAGTTAAACGTATGGCTAGTTAAATCGACAGAAAACAATTAAAAAACGTGCATTAACTTCAGAGTTTTTGATTTATCTACTTCTTGAAAATAAATTTAAAGACTTAAAACAACTGCTCTGTGAAAACTACCCTTTATTTTCGCTGCATTTAAAAAAAAAAAAAATCATGCTTCTTTAGGATTAGAAAAATCATGTCAAGCCTGCTCTTCTAAGCCAAATCCTTGCGTGACTTTCAGGTCGCCGAGTGGATGGGAAGACGCGATGCCTGGTCAGCGGAGAAACCTCCCGATACCCGAACGAAGCCCACCCGCTGGGAGTTCCACGATGGACGTGAGCAGCTTGACGAAAACGTAGGTCGGAGCCAGGACATCGGCGAGGGGCGTCACGTCCAGTCGGCCGAGGAGCAGCAGCGACGCGTTCGCATCAAGTAGGTTCTTCTATTGAAATCGAAATGCATCTAAAAATATAAATATATATTTGTTTAAACCCCCAGGAATAACCGCACAGCCAAAGACGATCTTCATCTTAGTTTCCATAACTCTAGGACTAATCTAATTAACGACCGCGACGTCTACATGGAGGATGTGATTGAGAACCGCGATCTGGCTGACGAACGGGAGCACATTTCCAGGACACGGGTCAACCGGCAGGAGTACGCCCGGAGGAAGCACTACGACTCGGAGGTCCGCATCGACGATGATTCCATGCGGAGGCACGAGATCGACCGAGGCAGCGACATCGACTTCAACACGGCACAGAACAACAGTCTCAAGAGCAAGCGTGAATTGTTTATCAAGGATGGAAATGTGGAGATTTTGCAACTGATGACCAGGGATAAGACGAGGGATGGCCTGAATCTGGATGACGACAATATCTATGTGAACGTTCCCCTGAAGCCGGCGGGCAATCTCTCCCATCCGCAGCTCCTGATGGTGGATAACACCGGCAAGGAGATCCTGATGCGCAGGTTCATCGAAGAGCAGCCGGATGGCAAGCAAATCATAAGGGAACACTACCAGATCGTTCCCGGGGCCACATACATTCAGTCCATGCCCAATGAGGTGCAGCAGGGATCGACCCTGAAGGGAGACACTTTTCCGTTGGGCAAGTCGGGGCCAAACAGCATAGTTTACTCCCAGCTGGAGCCGGAGGTGAAGGTCATCCACACGCAGCCTGTCCAAGCGACCGAGGGCATGTCCTTGGAGCAGCAGTTGCAGCCAGCGGTGTCCAATCAATCCCTCACCCACGAACTGGAGCACTCCCTGAAGCAACAGAACGCTCTTCTCAGACAGATTCTCCTTGAGAAGGAGAAGCTGGAGAATGCCTACACTCAACACGAGGTAGCTCTGGAAACCCAAAGTCTTCCCGGACAGTCGATGGCCATAGGAACCCAGACGGATTGCGATGCTGGAACTCAGACCGAAGGCCTGGACACCTTGGATGCCGAGATTCATCAGGCGAAACCCTCGCGCCGGAGAGCTCGAAGCGAGAACGACGAGTCCATGTCTGAGGATGGCTACGAGTATGTGCGCTTCAATCCACCAAACAGTCCCGAGGGCGTCTACTGGATAAAGCGACGGAGGACAAAGAAGCGCCCGAGACAACCGCGCAAGAGGATCGTGATGGTGGAGGAGGTGAAACGCAAGATCCGCACACCCATCAAGGAGGAGGAGGAGCTGCACGAACGGAAGAAGCGTGTGCCTCCAAAGAAACCGCTGAGGGAAACCAAGACTAGCATTCTGCGCAAGCAGCTGAGTGACGAAAGCCGAAAGGACAATGCGAGGAATGGAGAATCGCAAACCGGCGGCAGCCGTCACCGATCAGAGGCCGAGGCCAGGAGTCGTGAGCTGCTCATGGAAATAACCGATTCCATGGATGAGATGGCCAGTCCCGGATCGCACAGCATCCGAAAGATCCAGGTGGAGAAGTATTACAAGCACTCCGATGGCGACTTCGACGAGGACGACACTGAGTACTCCATCGACTCGGATGGGGATGAGATCGTGATCAGGTCCAACTATCCCAGTCGAGGGCAGGAGAACGAAAGGTACAGGAGAGAGGAACGGGTCTATGCGGAGCCAGAGGAACCGAAGGGGCACAAGAGGCAGAGTCACCACAGAAAGCCATCGCCCACCGATTCTCAGCCAGAAGCCAAACCGCGGATATCGAGGCGCGACAGCTCCAAGCGGGGCTCCAGGAAGCAAACGTCCTCGGAACCTCCACACAACCGGCTGTCCATCTCCAAGTATGAGTCAACGGTCAGCGAGAACGGCAGGAAGCTGACATCCACCTCCACGGAAATAGTGGGCTCCAAGCGATCCCTCACCGATCGGAGTTACCAGAGTGAGACAGAGTTGGCCGCCCTCGAACACGAGCATGAGCCCGAACCCGAGGAACGGAATGTGCCCAAGTACATGGAGTGGTACTACAACAAAAAGAAGACCTCGGTGAGTGGACGCACCTCAACGGAGTCATCAAAGTCGCAGCCGTCCAGCAAGAAGAAGGTGGCTGCTTCCGAGAAGCGCGTCTCCAAGACTCGCATAACAGTGCATCCCAAGGACTTTGAGGAGGATGAGGATGCTGGTGGACGGTACAAGCCTGAGCCCGCTCCCCGAAAGTCCCCTCCAAAGGGCAGTCGCCTGCTGAAGGAGGACCGCGCTCTGAACAAGCAGCACAAACCAAAAATCGAGACTGACACGAATCACCCGCTTCTCCAGCACTCAGAGCATCGCTTCGAGCGTGAAAACGCCCTAGAGGTGCCAACCGCACCCACCAAGCTGCCCCACTACATGTATCCGGAGACGCCGCCGCATGCGGCTGCGGCCAGCAAGGATGCCACCAAGTCCGCCAAGGAGCTCAAGCCCAAGCCATCACCCATCAGGGAAAACGAAGTCAAGGTTTCCAACTCAAAGATCTACGTGGAGAGTCGCGGACCGGGTAATCCCTCGCAGAAACAGCTGAACGCCTCGACCCTGGAGGATGACCACGACTCCGGAATTGCCATGAACTCACTGCTCAACAGCCTGGGACGTCGCAATCCCATTGCCGAGAAGAAGAGCGTATTCTCCATCGCCTACGACGACGTCAGCCGGGTGAAGAAGATCAACTCGGGCGGCGAGTCGCCGCAGTACTAGTAGCGATCCACTCCAAACCCTTCAAAGGAACAATCATATGTGATAGCCTCCAAGGCTCCCTACCTGCGAATCATCGAACCAATATCTGCAATACTGTATCATATACACCCAAAGCCAGCCTGTTACCCCATTCGTAGTCTACGGGACGTTGAGAAATGTTCAACTCGTTTCTGTGCACCGAAAACACACAACATACGTTAGGATCCGGTTAGGATTGCCGCCTTCATTGTAACCATAAGCCGACAGATGTAGTTCAAAGTTTTATATTTAACAATACACCTAGAGTCTAGGAGAGTGGCGTAAGCTCCATGCCACACCAATGTATTCAACTCTATCCTATACGCATTATGTAGCCGACCCTATGTACGACCAAAATTGTTAAGGATATTTATACGGTTAACGTTTAGTGTGTCTTCTTGTACATATCACGCACAAGTCATTGCAAGTGCTATCCTACCAGAAACTTGTGCAAATGTGTATGTACATAAGCTAATGTATACTTTGCAGTCGAATGAACAAATGCCTGCCATATTGAAAACACTTGCAAATATAATCTAATAAATCAGTATCGAATTAATGTACATATTCTAAGGATAAGCTTATGCAAATAAAACAAATTAATCCCAATTAATGTGTTGACTTATTCTTAAAAGGGAAACGGGGGATATATAAAAGATATATATGACATGAAATATGTCTTTGGACTCTTTGGGAACCTACTTACAAGGCTTCAAAGCCCAGCAGGAAATATTAAAGCGATAATGAAGGTATTTCTATCCCTATATATCTATATTTAAGCGATAATTAAGGCTTTTCTATCCCTCCTGAATACCTCCTGCTGCGACCTCCACAAAGTAGGCAACATTTTTATTCGACTAACAAGGCCAACTAAGAATATTTATTAGCTTTTATCGTTTCAAAAGAGCACACACAACTTCCTAGGGTTAATGACAGCACATTTTTCTTCGTTTTGCTTCCGTTGGTTGTTGTGCTTATTCCCCTCGTTTTCTCTCTGCGACTATTAAGTGTTTGTATAAGAGCTCAGATGCCGGGGGTAAATAAAATGCGTACAGCATTCACGCTCTCCATTTTAAATGTATCTTTGAGATACAAAATAACATAGAATGAAAGAAGTTTGACGGCATTACAAAAGTCTTCTACTGGTTGGAACAACCGAGAACGAATCTTAGAGATAGTAGAGTCTTGCTTGAGGTTTCAACTTCAAACCGAGTTCATTTGACGTCACTTCGAACTAGGAAAAATACTTTACGGTATATATATTATTCATCATAAAAACAACGTTAATATAAATGTTAAATATTTATATTTTAGCATAGGATTATAGCTACCCACATAATTGTTTAATGTTACTTCATTTTATTAATAATCATAAAAGCTTGAGATGATCCAAAGTCTTAACATTTTATATGTTATATAATTGAAGGCGAGCCTGTAATATCTATAATTATATCCATAATATTTATAATAATAATATTATTAACTTCAATTTACATTCTTTAAAACATTAATGTTTACTCTCTAGAAAAATAAAGACAGAGACTATTTAAAAGTGGCGCCAAGTTAAGCTTCGAACAGAAAGCTTTATTTATCAGCCTCGCAACTTAAAAATCGGTCGTTCATATGTATATATCAGGCTGATCAGCTGGTCGAACACAACCCCTCGCAACGTCGCACTATGGGGCGAACAACCACTTTTTATGGCATTAATTAATAACTAGTAGAAATTTTTAAGTTCTGTTGTTTAAAGCAAGTTTAATACAAAAAAAAAAACAAATATTTCACTAAAAATGGACGCGATCTCGGTTTTTTTTAATGATTAAACTTTTTTTTCAGAGTTGAAAATTTTTTTCTTAAAATAAAAACTTCAATGAAACAACCTAATTTTCTGTAATATGACTTGAATGTATACAGATTTGTTATAACTTGAATACAAATTTAAATATCTGTACCAATTTTGGTCGTTTAAACGTTCCAAAGGTTAAAAAACTCGATATTTTTCAGATGTACGGTTATCACCTTTAAATTTGAATTTCAGAGAAAGTGTGCAAAACTTTGATACTCACAGAATATAAAAAGAATCACTAAATCTACAATATAAATTAATGTTATAAGAACGTATTTTAACAACTTTAAAAAAATGGGTTTATGCCAGAAAAGGTAGTCGTTTGCCCCATAGTGCGTCGCTCGAACAGCAAAGTACTCGAGCCAAGTGGCGACGCTCCTCAAACTCATTCTCTTTGCGAGTGCGGATGTGAGTTGTTTGGTCTTTTTCGTGTTCGTTTCAACATACTCAGTTTATTCAAAACACATTTATTTAATTGCAGAGGAAATCCACAAACTTTTACTAAAACCCAGCCAAGTGTTTAATAAAAAACTGCAAAATGTGCAAGTGCCTAGCCGGAAACGTGGCCTGCTGGTGAGTTCAATTAATTGGTTTAGCATCATTAAACTTCAGAATATAAAGTACAAAAGATGCGTATAATATTATTATTAAAGCGGTCGGTAACCGCCCAAGACATATAAATAGATCGGGACTCGTGAGTAAGACAGCTCCGGTGAGATAAGGAGGTGTGCAACCACCTGATAACTCTAGTTAGCTTCTATTTACATATATAAAACCAAGTGCGGGAAGATCTGTGGATACACACCCAAAAAGTTCCCAAGGGAGCTGCTTCTGTCTAGTACTTTTCTTTATATATCGCTGTAAAGAGAGAGCATTGTAAAATTAAAGCGGAAGCAGAACTGTGAGAAAAACTGGAAATCGCTGTGCGAATACTCGCTTGAATCTCTTATACGTATCGGTAGGTAGGGAGCAATACAGGTTTCCATATCAAAACAATGAAAGCAATGAGAGCAGGTAAACAAACTGCATGAGAATCCGTGCTGAGAACCATTACCATTCTACCTGAAAGAGTTTCCACTTTCGATGCGGTCCGACTGTATGGATACATGTATCATCGCTTAAGCTGGCAGAATAAATTACTTAATTGTCTACGATATCATACGCACACTGGCTGCGATAGAACATATATATTTGTACATGACATGCAACGTGGATTCCGCAAAAGTCTACTTATTATTCCAGCTCACGCTTCCCCAAGGCACTCAATTATATATGTATGTGGCGGTTCATATTCGCGCACAGTGGCCACAATTGAAAGAACCGCATATTTGCGTATCTATTAGATTCAAACAGCGACGAGGATGAGGGCATTTTGAAAACAACGCGTCGCATTAGTTCCTTTATTTGTGTACCAGCTGGCTCCAGAATGTCCTGGCTCCGTTGAGGCGCGACGGAATTATTCCTTGAATACACATATCTACCCCCAGGAATCTCCCCTCTCTCGTCTCCGGTGCTTTTGGCCAACAACAAGCGTCGTCGTCAGTCTGTCGCCGGTTTCGCATTTCCGTCGGAATGATATGACAAGCCAGCTCTTGGCCCTGAGAACGTAGTTGGTGGTAACTCGCTGCTACTGCCAGGGTGGAAATTTAATTACGAGTATTATTTGGGGTGCATTTTTATTACACGCAACTTTTCATGCGTAATTAATTTGGAGGTCTTGCATCATTCGGATGTTCTACTTCCCCTTTTGCTATGGTTATGAAATATTGATACTGATGACCAGTTAAAAATGGATTATGTAGAATTACTAGAAGTTAAATTTGTATATCTAAAATTTAGGGAGAAGAATGAGTAACACCAAACGGATGTGCTATCAGAAAACTTTACCATCTGCTGAGGATGATCTCATTAGAAAGCTATTTATTTATAATTTATTTGAATCTAAAGATACAAAACATATCAAAAACTTGTATTTATCTTGGGCTTCTCTCATTTCAGCTGCTTCAACTGCGCCCTCAGTGTGCTAATCTCGGTCATCAGTACCTTCTTGGTGGTCATCATCGTGGTCGGCTTGGCCGTCTACTTTATTTACTACTACGAGAAGGAGGACGATGTCACCAAGCTCACAAACAAAGTGACCGACAACATCCAGTCAGGATTTGATAAAATAAAAGATGCCCTAAGCAAATAAGACAAACAGCTAAAGTAAGCATAAATGACAAAGTTTTGCCGTAAAATACTAATTAACTTTCACTTTCAGATAAGTTCACATACATAAATGTTCCAAGCTATGCATGATTCCATCGATTCAGATTAAATGCCACCAATTTACATAAACAAACACCGCCGGAGCCTTGAAGAGGACGATAATTGTTACAACTTTTTCAGTACAAGTACAAATAAAATGTTATAACACCCTCTTAACTCTATATATTATTGTGAATCTCCAACTAAAACAGAATGTTCCAACGCAAACCAATTTTATAATTAAACTATTTATGATATTTAAATACAGAACAAAAGAACTTTATAATACATCGAAATCGTTTAAAGTGTTTTCTTAATAAACAAAAAATAAAATAATGAATAAATTTGCAGTTTTCTCATTAAAGCTATAAATAGAAATTTGACTATTTAGAGTCGGATTAAAGCATATTCTTGGGATTTAAATGAGTAAGTAGGCTGACCGATAAGAGGAAGTCGAGCCACAGCGCCTTCCTAATAAAAATAATCTTTTTTTTTGCCACTCATTCAGTAAGCACACATCAGCTTATCATACTATTAGTTTACAGCCTCATGGCTACTTACAAAATGAATAAACAAAGCTTCAGTTTATGTATACCTTCTTTGCCATGTCCGACAAGATAAAAGGGGGAAAAATAAACAAAAATACTTTCATAATTTCAGACATCAAGCTCTGCACCGTCGGATACTCTCGGCGGCCCTTCGATGCCGAAGATGGTCGGACAATCTCCAATAAAATCGATATATTCAGAGCCATTTTGAAGGCATCGACTCGATGAACTTCTACCAGGCTCCCATAAAGCACAGAAGTGCTGCCAATCGTTCGACGACTTCGATTGGATCCAAATCAGCCCCTTCATCGCTCCGAAATGGAAACTCAACACGACGGAACGGTGGAGTGGGAAATCCAACATGGTGGAGCGATGGAGGGGAAATGGGAGCTCATCACAAAGGACTCCATTTCTATTCACTCTTTTCCAGCAGTCTGGCAGCATGCAACATAAACCGGTAAAATTTAAACGCCCAAAAGGACCTTTTGAAATGGTAAACTTTAATAAGGTTCTCTATGAATAAACAATAATTTTTAAATTGAAAGTGTGGCCAAATAGTTGGAATATAATATTCCTAAGTTATAAAAATGCTATAGAATCTTTAAAGAAAATGGAAATACTATAAAATAATCCAGCAAAATCTGCTCATAAAATAAAAGTAAATAAACTATTTTAAATGAATGTAACTGAGGTAGACTTCAAGGACGACTACGAACACCCAGATGATCTGGAGTACATATTGGAATCGGTGTTGATGTCCAACGATGGAAGTGCAGAGTTTCAAAGTCTGGAAGAGAAGTACAATTCGGTGCTTCTGAACCAATGCCAATGCAAAGGATCCTGCGATAATATAGAAAACTGTCCACATGGCGGTCAGTATATGTACGGACCGGATGGAAAGGAGTTGCTCCTTTGGAACAGCGAGGCCTCTCCAAAACCGGTCATAGAATGCAACCCATTGTGCGAGTGTAGTAGGAACTCCTGCTCCAATCGTCTGGTGCAGTATGGACCAAGAAGGAATCTGGAAGTATTCGATTCTCCGATTTACGGATCAAAAGGACTACGCAGTAAAGTAAATATACCCTGCCGGGTCTTTATCTGTGAATACGCAGGCGAACTATTGACCAAATCCGAGGCAAAGCGTCGCCTGGAAGCGAATGAGGCGCTCGGGCTGATGAACTATGTCCTGGTACTGAATGAATACACCAGCAATGAGAAGCAACAGGTGACCATTGTGGACCCCTCTCGTCGGGGGAACATCGGACGCTATCTGAACCACAGCTGTGAACCCAACTGCCAGATAGCAGCGGTACGAATAGACTGTCCCATACCGAAAATAGGTGAGTTTTATTTAGTTTTTTTCCTAGTCTTGGATTAAGCGTTTTCAAAATCAACAGGCATCTTTGCTGCCCGCGATATTAAGGCCCAGGAGGAGTTGTGCTTTCATTACGGAGGAGAGGGGCAGTATGTGAACACGAAAAATGGAAAGACTTGCCTATGCGCTGCTCCTAATTGCACGGGTTACATGCCCAACACTGAAATTGATTAAAGGATATAGATAAAGTTTTCAAATAACAATGATTAGAACTTACCACTCAGAGTTTGTTGGGCACCGGCCCCTCCAGTGGCGGCAGCTTCTCCCTTATCCATTTCTCAAGATCCGAAATGGATGCAGTTTTTAGTTCATGTAGTGTGTTCTTCAGCGGATGGAATGTGCCCTTTACACCCAGCTTTTTCAGATTCTCAAAGGTCTCCATGCCCCAGTCTGGAGGTACCAGTGTATCCCGCTCTCCGTGGAACATGCGCAGCTCTGGAAGAGAACTGCCTTCCGGGTGATTTTGCAGGGACTCGTAGACAACAGATTCGCGATTTAGGAAGGAGGAATGGGCAAAGACACCCGCCAATTCGGGCTTCAAATGATACCCCGTATGCAGGGCCACTGCTCCGCCCATGGAGAAGCCGCCCACAATGATCCTGTTAAGCGGTATCCCGCTGGCCACCTCCTTCTCGATCAGCTCATTGATGGAATCGTAGCACTGCGACATGCTCCTCTTGTGCTCTCCGGCGGCTATGTTAATGGACTTGCGATCGAACCAAACGTGGGACATCTCGCCGTCCATAGGGGTATACTTCTGGAGCGGGGCCGTGGGATAGATGATTTTGATGTGCGGATACTCCAGATTCCGGCCGAGCACGAAGCGCACCCATTCCAGGATTCCGGGGCCAGTGTCCCCAGAGCCGTGGAAGAATATCACGGAGGCGGTGTGTCTTCCAGTGGCATTTATCGTCTTCAGGGCCAGTTTCATCTTCAATTCACCTTTGGAGCCTTAAATATTTAACAAGACCGAATAAATAATATAATCAAAGGGCATTGGTGTGACCAGATGCAAGGAGTCATGAGAATATTACATTTTAGATTTTATTTTAATCAGCTATATATCTTAATTTCGTCTTATACAATATTACCTGTATATCTTCTAATTATTAAATTTGCTGTGTTTAGATTCCTAGAACTTTAAACGTCAGTTAATTTTAATTTATATACATTTCCAACTGTCCGGCAACGCTGATTGTCACACATGTAAACACGTTTGCGTTTTCCAACACAGGTCGTTTTACCTGAAAGAGAAGAAGAAAACTCGGAGTGGCAAGTGGCAAATATAAATAAATAAAGTTGTGAGTAGCTGTAAATGAAACGAATAAAATACAAACCACACCGTTATATATAAATACAACAGTTTAACTTACTTTTTCAAAGTTTTGGGTGCCGCAAAAGTCGTCTATTTACCTGCAAAGGTGTGTGCATTATCGTGTATCTTTGAGTGAAAACTTCAGTGAAACAAAGGGCCGTTTACGTTGCATTTCCCAGGCCATATACCTGTTTAATGGGCAGAGATGGCGAAAGCAGCTACAAATCTTAAAACTTGTGGCGAAACAGTGCAAATATTGAGGCTGAAATTGCGCAAATCTTTTGCAACAAAGTAGCTCTTGGCCTTCCTGCTTCCCATTTATCAGCTGTTCCGCACATGGTGTGAGAATCCCTACATATGTACAGTGGTTTGTAGATATGTAAATAGTCGAGTATATAGTTGTGAATGGGAGTGGGAGAGGGACAAAAAGTTGACTGTGTAAGTGAGTAATATTTGTTTATGCTGGATGCAAAGTTCAACGGTACCTTCACCCGCACTCACACACGGTCGCCCGCCCGCCGATTACGCTATTTGTTTTCACCTACACAAAACCATTCAAATGTGTGAATACGCTTTGAACGTGTGTAAGGTTTTGCCTCCTCACCGTGATTCGGCAGTATTTCGCCCAGTTTCTGCCTTTATCATTCCATTCCCACCAACTCAGCGTCACTTTACGCGGAAATTTTAAAACCGCAAAGTGTGTGATAAAAGAATAGGGGAAAATTGGTAATCCCGTCACCTGAGCGCTATTGAAGCGTGTAATGATGAATTTACAAAACCGCGATTTTGGGGAAACCCCCGTCCTACGTTATCAGCACAGCTGGGTTTTCATGTTATCTACTTCAAAGATTGAGATACAAAATTCTAGAGATAACTCCACTAAGAAATAGATTAACATATGTACATATTTTGGTATTATAGCACACAAAATCATTTATTTTAGAAAACATTTTAAAATATTGGTATTTTTTAACTATATAATTTAGTAATTAGGATAAAGAAATTAAAAACTAACTTCAGTTTTCCATAGGATCATGCCATTGAATCAAAAACCTATCAAAACTAAGCCGAAAAAAATCAAATTCAATTCGGAAAGCATTTCTATGCTAAAAATTCTCTTCTGTTTTTATGATTTTAACTTATTAAATTTAAAAAAATTTTAATTTCCGAACTTGTCTACAAATTCTTGCATTTTAATACTAATCAAGAATATATATGATTTATGGGGTCGGAAATGACTTAGTTTTAAAGTCAGCATTATGTTTCTAATATTGTTACGTTGTCAGGTAGAAATTGATTTGGTAGATAATTCTATCATCAATTTATAAGTGCAAAAAGTGGGTGTGTTTTACGACTATTGGTGCCATAAACTTGTGAAATCCACCCATGGCAAGTTCAAATTTAGTGACTCAAATTGCTAGGTAACAATGATTAATCAGATTTATATTTATACAGTGACACCTCTTTTGGAGTGTCAGATAATATCCCAACAAAATATACGAGAAATTAATGGGTATTCTTCTTCTAACTTAGATCATTAAAAGCAAATTTTCCGAGAATGCTAAATGTATTTTATATTTAAATCCTTAATTTACTTGGAATATTTTATAAAATAACCCAGATTTAAATATTTTCCGCTGAAATTCGGCCTACTAAAATCTCAGAAAATTACGAACTTGAGGTCTGAGCAAATGTACATCACACATTAACATATAGAGTACTTCAGATTGTTTTTATTTTGTTCCATTGAGCTATTTATTTATTTATTCGCATGGACTTTGAACGTTTTAAAGCTACACTTTCAAACGAATCGAAATTCCGGGAGGCTTCAATGACGTGCAAACAATTTTTTTTTTTTGAAACTGAAATTATCTGTAGCCGCAAATAATTAAAATGGAAATTCTAAATTTTCCGAAAACCGGCTGAGCCGGTTAAGCAATTCTCACAAGAAATGGAAAATCATCGAAGCGCTTTGTTTACAAAAAAAATCACCGATTTGTGAACATCATCGTTACCGTGCTGGAAGGTGCTCGTAAAGCATTCGTTGTTCATTCATGTTATGACTTTTTATCGCCTCGAAAAGGAGTATTCACCTGTAAGGGTCCGAAGAGCCGAGTCACATGTAAGCATGATAACGCTATTCGTAACGCAACTCTCGCCGCCCTGCCATCTGAGAGATAAGTCGTCCGCTCCATGGTGCTGCTCTGGGCCCGGCAGTGGCTCCCGATGGTTGAACGGACCACCGCTTGGCAGTCAGTTGACGGGCTCTCTTCACGGCGCACGCATGATCGCCGGAGCGGATTTACGGCGCAGCAGCTGATCGCGCGCTTTCGATTTCTCAGTGTCTTTGTTCCATTTCGTTTGGAATTATCTGGTGTGGAGTGTCCATATAGGGGTTTACATATACCCGAGATTGTTATTATTACAATATTATCTCTTGTGGAGTGACTTAAAAAAGAAACATTAAAGGAGCCCCAACTTATAGTGCCAAAATGCAAACCCAAATGCAGACACAAATGCAGTATGAGAGTCATATCTCATCTCCAACACATCAATTAAATAATCGCCTTCAAGCAGGTTGGTTTTTAATATACAATTCCAGCAAGGAATATATATTGCTATAGTGTAGTTAGTTCAGTTAGACTTTTAATTAGGACATTTCCAAAATGTTTAAAATATTTTTCTGTTTCTTGCTCACTTTAGGAACTTTAATTTAATCTATTTAATTAATAATTATTAAACATTTAATTAGTTTTAAAATTGTAACATACTTCAAAGGACCTAGTAAAAACCCTAAAGTAATTATTTGGTTAAAATGCAGTTAAAACAGTTTACCCTCCCAAAGGTTAAGGTCTTTTTTTTCGATCTTTACGATGGGTCTACAGTTCAATTCGCAACGAGTTTGCCAGATAATTTCGTTACTCGCGCTTTTGGGGGAAAAAAACCACTGATCATGACTGTGCACATTGCGAATCAAGTTCTCTGGCCGCTTCCACAGTCTAAAACAGCCCACAATGATTGGCGAAAATGTTTGAAATGTTTCTAGATTGTTGTACAATGAAGTCACTCGAAGTGTAACGTGAGGTGCTAAAAATAAATTAGAGAAAGGAAAAGTTAGCAATAATAATATATACATAATTCCGTTTGCAGTTGCCACTTCAAGCTAGCGAATTAATTAATTTTTTTTCTAGTTAATCGAATGTGGCTTTGGATATTCCGATAACAGATATCAGTATGGAGAAACTAGTTTTGCTTAGCAATAAAAAATCCGGTTGTACTTTACAGTAGCTGCTCGAATAGTAAACGTCAAAGAGTAAATTATAATATTGCCTTATTTATTCACTTACTGTTTTTAATAAATAAAACCCAGCTAATCTAGTTCTAGAAAGTATTTAGAGACTTCTTTGCTATTATCTCTGCGCTTATCTATCTTAGATATGCATAAAATACTACGTCATTTCACACATGGAGGCTTTGGTCTTTAAAGTGCCATCTTGTATTTGTTTTTATTTTTGCAAATTCATACCAGATTAGATAACATAATAGAATATATAGACTCAACTGATTGGCGATCTATTTGCGATGAATGGGGTACAAGGGTTATAGGGCTGGCTTTTGAAGTGTCTTAGTTACGGGAACCATAGGGAAAAATATGTGCATTAAACTCAATGATTACGGCTCATTAGCACTTTGTAGTAGCATATTGTTGGATGAATATGCATTTCTAGACACCGGCCCGACAAAATGTCATCGTGTTTAATTATAAAAACACATTTATTACCTTTTTAATACAGTACTTAATCCCCAATTAACCTATTCTTTTCTTCGTAGAGGCTGAGATGAACAACCATGCAGAAAGTTGTTCCACCTCGTCGTCGTTCGGGCGGTGCGGATCATCGACGCACTCGCAGATCGATGACCATGATGCCACAGACGACGACATGACCTTCTGCATGTCCAACTACGCCAAGGAGGCCTTGAAGATGATGTTCATGATGCGCTCCCACGGCATGCTCACCGACGTGGTGCTCGAGGTGAAAAAGGAGCTCTTCCCCGCCCACAAGGTGGTGCTATCGGCAGCATCGCCATACTTCAAGGCCATGTTCACGGGCGGACTCAAGGAATCGGAGATGTCGCGCGTCCAGCTGCAGGGGGTAAGTTGAGCTCAAGCGCCGCCCTCAATTGGTTGGTTTAATGGATGAACAGTTTCCGTTTACCACTTCCAGGTCTGTCCCACGGCCATGTCGCGCATCCTTTACTTCATGTACACCGGCCAGATCCGTGTGACTGAGGTGACGGTGTGCCAGCTGCTCCCAGCTGCCACCATGTTCCAAGTGCCAAACGTAATCGATGCCTGCTGTGCCTTCCTGGAACGCCAGTTGGATCCCACAAATGCCATTGGTATTGCCAACTTTGCGGAGCAGCACGGCTGTGTGGATCTGCAGAAGAAGGCAAACGTATTTATCGAACGGAACTTTACACAGGTAAGTAATCCTCCCCTGTAGTCCTGTTACGAATACTACAATAGTCAAGTCGCGTTCGTAGGTGTGCCAAGAAGAGGAGTTCCTCCAGCTGACGGCCTATCAGTTGATAGCCCTCATCCGCCGGGATGAGTTGAATGTGCAGGAGGAGCGAGAAGTCTACAACGCGGTGCTCAAGTGGGTCAAATACGACGAAGACAATCGCCACTGCAAGATGGAGCACATCCTGGGCGCCGTGCGCTGTCAATTCCTAACGCCCAACTTCCTCAAGGAGCAGATGAAAAACTGCGACGTTCTGCGCAAAGTTCCCGCCTGCCGCGAGTATTTGGCCAAAATCTTTAAGGACTTGACGCTTCACAAGTGTCCGGGTGTAAAGGAACGGACACCCAATACCACTCGCATGATCTTCGTGGCCGGCGGTTTCTTCCGTCACTCGCTGGACATACTGGAAGCCTACAATGTGGACGACAAGACGTGGACAACGCTATCAAATCTACGCATTCCCAGATCCGGTTTGGGTGCCGCCTTTCTCAAGGGCAAGTTTTATGCGGTCGGCGGACGAAACAATAATATTGGCTCCTCCTACGACTCGGATTGGGTGGATCGTTATAGTGCCGTCAGCGAGACGTGGCGTCCCTGCGCACCCATGTCCGTGCCCCGACATCGCGTAGGCGTTGCCGTCATGGACGAACTGATGTACGCCGTGGGCGGATCCGCGGGCATGGAGTACCACAACACTGTGGAATTGTGAGTATTAAGGATGAAAATGCATTAGCGAACTTATATTAAAAATATATTCAATTGCAGCTATGATCCCGACATGGATCGCTGGACACTGGTGCAGCCCATGCACTCAAAGCGCCTGGGAGTGGGTGTGGTGGTGGTCAATCGTCTGCTCTATGCCATCGGCGGCTTCGACGGAAACGAGCGATTGGGGAGCGTGGAGTGCTACCATCCGGAGAACAATGAGTGGAGTTTCCTGCCACCGCTCCAAACCGGTCGCAGCGGAGCGGGTAAGCATGACCAGCGTTCTCTTATCACTGCCTCCTGCTAAATTCGCATTTAATTACTATCAGGCGTGGCCGCAATTAACCAGTACATCTACGTGGTCGGCGGCTTCGATGGCACCCGACAGCTGGCCACCGTTGAGCGCTACGATACGGAGAACGAGACGTGGGACATGGTGGCGCCCATTCAGATCGCCCGCAGTGCTCTGTCGCTGACACCGCTGGACGGCAAACTATACGCCATTGGTGGATTCGATGGCAACAACTTCTTGTCCATTGTGGAGGTATACGATCCGAGGACCAACACGTGGGTGAAGGGAACGCCACTGAAATCGGGACGATCCGGTCATGCCTCGGCTGTTATCTATCAGCCTGCGTGTGCCACCACATTCATGGACTACGAAGAGGGCGATGACACGACGCGAGGAGGCGACGGAAGCCATGATGAGGGAAGGTCCAGGGACTCGTCTTCGCAAGATCCAAGCAGCAGTAGAAGTCCTCACTACTTGGGAAATGCGCCCAACATGCAGTTCCATACGTCGTTCGGCATGAGCGGCTGCAACAACTGCGATTCCGAGGCAGATGTTAAGCAAGAAGTCACAGCAGACACGCGAAATTTTCAAATACCTGCCATTAGGAGTGAGGAACTGAGCAATCCCTCGTGTCCCTGGTCCAGAATGCAGCGGAAGTTTCGAAGGACGCCACCCCTGTCATTCACCGACAGCGAAAACACAACAACAACCACAGATTTAACGCACAAATTCGATAGAGCGCGGAAAAAGTGCATACTAAGCACAGCGGCAAAAGTGATACATAACCACATCGAAGGCCGCCTGCGTAAGCTGGCGGCGGCCACATGACAATACGAATCCGATCCATACGCTTAGCCACAACCAAAACATCATTCATTGTACAAAGCCAAGTCCGCATCCCCCAGAATTCCATTTTGAGAAGCAGCATTCCATTGAAATATCGCCAAAGTGTTTGTTCGCTGGGTGATATTTGTGAACGTGTAGTCAAAACTGATTTTATGGCATCCATAACATTAACTGGCGCTCGTCAGCACATTTTTTAAAGATTGATTAGGGTTAATAGTTAATTAGTGGAAGAAAGGAAGGAAATGTGTCGTCTTTTATGTATACTGATAACTTGCATATTGTACTTTTTTTTAGAGTAGGTTCAAAGGAAATATGTGCATCCATAGTAATTTATACAAAAAACGCAATATATATAAGATAAATAAATGAAAAAAAAAAAAAACTATTATACAAATTTAAAAAAACATGTGTTTTAAATTGAAAGAAAAGAAAGTACAAATGCAGCTTCGATTGAGCAGTTGAATTAAACATTTATGATCAACTTTTGTGGCCCGTAAATCCAGGTGTTATCCAATGACAACGTAACGCTGCTTTTCATTCCAAATTAACATCAATTTTATTTGCTATTTGTATTGGCTCAACAAGTTTTGGATTAAAGACTCCTCTGTTTTCGTGGTCGCGGAGGATTGAATGAAACAGGCGTGTTGTCGGTAATGGACACAATATTTAAGCCACCCATTTGCAGTCCCTTGATTGCCGACTATCAAAATATTAGAATTAGTATTTGATTTAGAGCATTCAGATAAGATCTTACCATTCTGCCAGGGCCAAGACCACGAACCTTCACGCGCACTGTTTTCCAACCCAATTCAACGGCTTTCTGAAATGGAATTTTTGTTAATCAGAAAAGACTGATAATAAACTAAATTTAGGAGTAAACTTACTCCACTGATGGTCACAGCGGTGGCTTGAGCGGCAATGTTGGTGCCCTTGCGGGTGTTTTTGAATCCTTCAATGCCACAAGAGCGTATCAGTCGCAGGACACCTGAAAGCAAAGAACAAGTTAGCACATAGGGGACTCATTTAAAAGGTATGCCCGCTTCCCAAACCTTTGTAGTCCGTCACGGAAATGATTGTGTTGTTGGGCGACACGCGAATGTTGCAGATGGGCAGCTCGTTGAAGGGAATGCCGTTGAACAGCTGACTGGAGGTGCTCGCATCCGGAAAGAACTTGGCCTTGCTGTGAATTTTCATACTCTGTTTAATTAAATAGTTTACAGGGTATTAGGCTAGTCGTACCGGTTGATAAGGTTGTCTATGTCCACGGACTTCTCGCCCACGGTTCCTTCGTCTTTGGCCGGCATCGAAGCCAGCATCTCCTTGCGGTCCTCCGCCTTCCGCCAGCACGCTCCCGTGTGGATACTCGATACTTGCAGGGGGTTAAGCCTTTGGGCATGCCGTAAAGCACTTAAAAATACGCTTTTAAGTGACATTTTAATGTTTATTCGCCGAGTCCGTGTACAAAACCAAATTACATCACACCGCCAGTCTGGCAACTCTGGCAGTGTTGGTAAATGCCACACAACAAGTGCTATTTTTTAGGGGGAAACCCAAACTTCCACCTGGCCACACTGGTGTTGTTGCAGCACGTGTTCAAGTTAAGTTTTGTTTCTGGTTTCTGTTGTTTAAAATGGCTCTGAAACGACTAAAGAGTGAGTAATTGGTTAAATATACCAAGTAAATTCAACTAACCATTGTATGCCTCATTGCAGCCAAGAAATCCAAGCGCCTGACCGGCCGCCTCAAGCACAAAATCGAAAAGAAGGTGCGCGACCACAACAAAAAGGAACGGCGTGCTGCCAAGAAGAATCCCAAGAAGGGCAGCAAAAAACAGAAGCTTATACAGATCCCCAACATTTGTCCCTTCAAGGACGACATCCTCAAGGAAGTGGAGGAGGCAAAGGCACGCCAGGAGGCCGAACGCCTGGCTCGCCGTGAAGCCTTCAAGGCAGAGCGCGAACAGAACAAATTCAAGTCGTTGGAGTCTATGGTCGAAGATGCGGATATGCGGAGCACTGTCCACGGAATAATGCACGAGAACGACGAGGAGGGCGGCGAGAAGCAGTACAAGAACGCCGTCACCAAGGAGCAGTCGCTCAAGCAGTACTTCAAGGAGTTCCGCAAGGTGATCGAGAACGCGGATGTCGTCCTGGAGGTGGTGGATGCCCGCGATCCGCTGGGCACACGCTGCAACGAGGTCGAGCGTGCCGTTCGCGGTGCCCCGGGCAACAAGCGCCTGGTACTGGTGCTCAACAAGGCCGATCTGGTGCCACGCGAGAATCTGAACAACTGGATAAAGTACTTCCGCCGCAGTGGACCCGTCACCGCCTTCAAAGCCTCCACACAGGACCAGGCCACGCGGCTGGGCCGTCGCAAGCTGCGTGAGATGAAGACAGAGAAGGCCATGCAGGGATCCGTTTGCATCGGAGCCGAGCTGCTCATGTCCATGCTGGGCAACTACTGCCGCAACAAGGGCATCAAAACATCGATTCGCGTGGGCGTCGTGGGCATTCCCAATGTGGGCAAGAGCTCCATCATTAACTCACTGACGCGCGGCAGGTCGTGCATGGTGGGCAGCACGCCAGGAGTAACAAAGTGAGTTGATTTGAGATTTTCTGTTGATATACTTTACAAATTATAACCTTCTCTTTAGGGCAATGCAGGAAGTGGAGCTGGATTCGAAGATAAAGCTGATCGATTGCCCTGGAATCGTGTTCACCAGCGGATCTGAAAACTCGCATGCTGTTTTAAAGAATGCCCAGCGCGTGGGCGACGTAAAGGATCCATTCACCATTGCCGAGAGCGTTTTGAAGCGTGCTAGCAAGGATTACTTCTGCAACATGTACGATATTTCGAGCTACGACACATTCGAGGAGTTCTTCGCCAAGAAGGCAGCCAGAATGGGTGAGTACATTACCCGTCATCATCAGGCATCAAAGGCATTTCTAATGGCTTCTGAATCCGCAGGAAAATTCCTTAAGAAGGGCGTGCCCGATGTGGTGGCCGCTGCGCGAAGTGTGCTCAACGACTGGAACACCGGCAAAATCAAGTACTGCACCCAGCCGCCGGAAGTGCAGGAAGCGCAGACTGTGCACATTAGTGCCTCGATTGTACACTCTGAGGCCCGCGAGTTCGACGTGGAGAACTTCGAGTCCATGGAGACGGAAATCCTGGACCAGTGCGCAGTTAAAACCGATGACATCATGGAAATTACGTCAACGGGACCCTTGGAGATCAGGCAACCGCGTGAAGAAGAGGATCCCGCCACGAAATTGGCTGCTAATCTGATTATTAACGAGAAGGAAAAGGCAGCAGCAAAGGGCCGCAAAAGAAAACTGGAAGATGAAAAGGAAAAGCCAGATCCCGTCCTGCTTTTGGAAGGTATGCACAAACTGTCCCTAAAGATGGGGTGTTATTTTAATGGTACTTTTTAATTGCAGAAAACCAATCGCTGAACAAGGGGATCAAGGAGATGCAAAAGCGAAAGAAGAAGCAGAATGTGCGTAACGAGAAGAAAATCTCCAAGATTACAGACGTTCTGGATAACTTTAGCTTAGGTTCGGCATCCACAAAGGCAGATAAATATGATTTTGATGAGGATTATTTGATTGAATAAAAATTGTCTGCCTTAGCTTTAATCTTATAAATAAATCTGTTGATGATACACTATATATTTAGAAGAAAGTGTAATGTCTCCAAAAGAAATGGTTTTATTTTAATTTCATTGAAAAACACAAGGTTTATTTTTTGTAAATATATTGAAATTTTATTACAATTTTTAAACTTAACGGTATAACTGCACTGATTAAATATTTGATCATCTTGAAGCTATTGTATCGTATGCATGCATGTTTCATTTTTTCCATCTGCCTTTCTTCAATTCAATTTTTAAAATCAGCCCAGTAACTCTGCTCACGAGTGAAAGTTTGTTCTCTTCTATTTCTTACAGTGATTTTTGGAATTAAATTATACACGTACCTATTTTCTTTATAAATTTACTGAACACGGTCTTGCTTTAACAGTGAAAAACAATGGGTAACAATCGCATTTATACTCTTAGAACGAATTACATAGAAGGCTGGGGAATTCTATACGGATTTTGGACTTGATTGGTTCAACGGATAGAAGCCCAGCGCTGGGATCTTAATTGCAACACCAAATCCTCGAATTGGCATTTCCTACAGGTGGAAATGCAACCGAAATCGGGGCCTGTGGAATATGTGAATGATTTTCCATGTAAATAATATATTTGCTGAACTTTGAATGAATGGAAGTGCTATGAGGAACGAAAACAGTCAAAATATCAACATAAAACAAATGATGTTCGAACATGACGTATGCTTTCTTTAAACCAATCGCAATCCCTGAGCGCTGGACCTCATGGCCGTGGTACGAATTTAGTTAATAGTGCTTTTCGTTTTCATTTAACCTAGGATCTATGCAGATTCTACTGAACAGACATTTGTATTTCAGTGATGTTTGGTTTCATTTGGGTGGGGTATAAATTATGGTTTTAGGTTCTCTTAAAAACGTCGCATAGAAAAGGTATTTAGATGCTGATCGAGTGGTCTCTCTATCTCTGTTAACCCTGATGTGCCTTCTGTTTTAATTATGTATATAAATTAGTTATTTATACATGTCATATAGCTACTGGCGCAGGGCTCTAGCCCCACGGGTCGGTACATACTACATGTGTATATATATAGAGTGAATCACAGGATTTCAATTTTTGCTAAGTATGTTTAACAATCAATTACTATGTATTTCAATTCAACTCGCGCCGGACTTCCCTCCCTCCACTCGTCCCTCCAGGCGACTCGGATGCGTTAAAATTAATTTCGATGTATCTACTAGCAGTAATTGAAACTTGTTTCGTAATTATTATGTATGTAAACATTTAAAATGATTTCTTTTGCAGTCCTTTGTTGTTCCAAATTATTGGTTGTTTAATGGTTAGTTGGCGGCTCGGTCTTCTGCCCGCCAGACTCCACACTCTCGATCTCGTACAGGATCTCGTCCCCACCGCAGGATCCGTGAGTGAGCACACAGTGCTGCACAGTTTGGTCAGCAGCTTCTGCGCCTTGCGCAGCAGTTGACGCGATCGCCGGTTTCCCTCCCGCCGCCAGCTGGTCGCCTGTGGCTCGACCAGGTGCTGGAAGGCCGGGTGAGAGGACGATAGCGCCTGCAGTAGGTACTGTCACCGCAGATGACTGAAGTGCACCTCCACCCAGCAAGGGCAGCCCATGATGTCCTGGCGCGTGTAGCTGTGTCCCCAGCCCTTGGCAAAGCTGATCTTCAGGCTGAACCAGTCGATGGGTCCCATGTGGTGGTGTCCAGGCTGCCGCATGCTTAGCCATTGGGCCCTGAAAGAATATAACAATATTGTAGTATATTCTATTACGAATAATTAAGCCATAAAGTCTTACCTGTTTGTTTCAAAGGCCTTCAGGCAGCAGCCGGGCATCACTTTGCAAACGCGGTCCAGTCGCTCAGCCAGAGTGGGAGAGTCCACGAAAACGGCGGAGTTTCCACGATTATAAATCCAAACATCGCCGCTCTCCAGGCTCAATGTGACTCCTGTAATGTAGACTCTAGTTAGAAAAGTAACATCACAAAAATAAGTAGTATTCTCTTACCCAGTCCGACTTTCTTGCGTGTGTTTACCACCTCGGAGGACACTTGCTTACCATCCGGAGTGAGGTCACGCAGGCACATGCTATCGCCACCACTGTCCACAATCCCATCCGTGTAGATATTGACTGCCTTTGTCCTGGCGTGAAAGAACTCCCCGACTCGGTGGGCCAGCTCCCAATAGGCGATTTGGCACCAGCCCTTACTGCCGATGGTGTTATCTGGAATGGAAATGAAAGGGTAATTAATGATAACAAGAAAGGAAGCTCATTTTGGTAAGCTAAAGATTATATATCCCTGTAGTTTGCAATTTGATCAAGGGCTAAAGTTGAAATCGATCATATCATATAAGCTATTAATTTCCCTTGCAATCTTCAGACTGATTATAATACCCTTCAAGGGTATGAAATTGTGAAACCAATCTTATATAGAGGATGTTTATACATATAATATGAAATATATCATCATATCATATCCCCCCACCTCACACAAAGATTAAGAAAACGTTTAAAGACTGCGTTGTCAGTTTAACATGTTAACTAATTTATAGGCTATAATGTCAGTTTAACATATTAACTTATTAACCAGATAGTCAACTAATTGAATTTTTAAATATGCCTGTGATTAAGGTATTCCCGTAAATAACTATTATTCAAATTTCGAACTTGTAACCCGCATACAAAGTGTACACATCAGCGGCAATAACTCTTTCGCCGGCTAATAAAGTTTGATTTAAAATTACAATAATATCGGGGCAGTAAGCTACCACCGCCTACCGCCAACCTCCGCCTCCGTTTGAGACGAATAGAAGGAACAAAGTCGCTGGCCCGCTGGCCCGCTCGCCCGCACACTCACATTACGTTCGCACTCACTTGTGTGTGCTCAGACATTTAAATGGTAATAATTTTGGCGCCAGGGCATTACGTAAACAGACCGGCGTCGCGCTTGTGTGTGGTATATTCATTTGTGCATATGTAGCCTCCCCTGTACGACCGACTGACTGTATATATTTAACAAAAACCCACCGCACCGTGAGTCTGTTTATGGGTTCATTTGTATATTCCGATTCCGAACGCGTGTCGGGGCAATAATAAAGTGAGAAACAAGTGCAACTCTCTATTTGAAATCCTTGCTAACGAGACTCGTTGGAGGTGTGTGGGTTTTCAGTACAAATTATTTAATATTTACGACCCCATAAAATTGTTCATAAATTGTTGAAATTAATATATTAATAGGCTTTGAAATACCTCTGCAACGTGCCGTTTTAAGACGATTATTTTATATTTGTATATTTTTATTCCCAAGAATATCTGCATATTTTATATTTTAATTAAGAATGTACATACATATACGTTAATCATAAATACGAGTTTGTTATTGTTTTCTTTTTATAACGCCTACGACATTTCTTTAAAAACAACCCACATATATTATATATTTTGTAAAAGAAAATTTGTAAAGTTAAGAACAAATATTTATAGTGTTTTTTTTTTCTGTTACCACTTAATTTCTATGCAAGCATTAATTAATTAAGTGTACTCAATGACCCCCTTTTGTAGATGACACCCCTTGTTTTTACATTTATCAATCAACAATGGACTCAAACACCCATTGTAATGCAGTACAGTGCAAATATTGCGCATACGCCATGGCAGCCAGCGAAGCGAAGTGCAAATTGCAGCAATGCCAGCGGGTCGATAGTCGATTGGTTCTGTAGTTGGCCCGAAGTTGGCTATTGGCGAGAGCCAATTCGAGAAATATGTGCGCACAATCGGTCGGAAAATCAGAAAATCAGAAAATCGGAAAATCGCCAAGCGAAAATCGCTGGCGAGAAATAGCAGCAGGGAAAACAGCAACAATGGCCAGCACGCGCTCACCGAGAATAAAATTGAACGAAAGGCCGCCGAAAGGCGCAAAGGCCAAGCCCAGACGGGTGGCGCCAAGTAAAAATATATCGCAATAAATCCGTAGACGGCTTTTAAAATTTTGCATGGCAAAGAATGTGTGGCGAAAAACGGGAACGACGGCGGGGAAGAGACGGGGGCGTTGAACGTCGGACGTTGGACGCTGCAAGTGGCGCCCGTCCGATGTTTACCTAATTAGGTCGACGCCGGCAATGATTCCGTCGCGTCGCGCCTCGCCATGGCCACGAAATATTGTTTACCCCACCAGGCTGGCGTCGGACTCAACTGGGCGAGAGTGAGATTTGGGGCCAGCCAGAGTCGTCAGGTAAAGTTGATCCGAGAGAAAGGTGATTTTGGAAAATTGGGTAATCAAGTGCTTCTCTTTTCCGCAATCTTAAACTGGTCAAGATTAAATATTTGTTGGGTACAACTCTGCCTTGTAAGTTATTTTTGTTAATATTTAGTGTGCATTTTGTATCAAACAAATTGTACAAAATGTTTTAGTCGGGGATACTGGAAAATGTCAATAAATCTTTCGGTTTCGGAAAGTTTTCCATGGGCTCCACTTTGACCTGTTTTCAAAAAAGAATGCATCTTTTGAACTATACGATTTTTTCATTTGTTTACGTTAATTGCTTAAGGCATGCATTTTTGGGAGGAGCCTTTAATAAATAAGAGAAAATCTGAAATGTTTAAACCTGTGGTTTACTAATTTGCGTCTACTGTCATTTTTTAATAAGTAATTATTTAAAATTTTCATTTGGAATACTACAAAGGTTTCGATTCGAAAAATGCACCTACTGCATTTTTTCCTGTGCTATTTACATATTTTGTAGCGCCGTTTCATGGCTGTTGTGTTGTTCCCCTTGCTAATATTTATGTAAGTAGGTACATAAGCGTACATACATATGTGCATTTGTGTTGGATGCCCGAATCCACGGGCTGCTACATCATCTTTAAATTTAGAATATTTTATCTTCAATCTGTGCGCCAGTGTGGGTCGAGGCAGTGGCCTGTAAGTTTGTTGGTGGCCCACATGTGCTGCTCTCAAGGAATAGCCCATGTTCGACTCGGTCTCCACATAGTACATTATATAGTGGAGTCCCTAACCCCCAACTATGGATTACAGTAGATGGGAAGGGGGTAATTGGATCTATAAGTTCACACTATAGTTTTTCGAAGAAAAACCTAGACTGGATATTTGTGTCTCATTTAGCTTTAAAATGTCTTTCATTCTGACTTTAGTGTTAGTGTTTTAATCTAAAGAAAACATTAATTGGTTATGTTTGTTTAGATAAGGCCTCAATGGAAACCCACTAAAAATCTTTATAATTGAGATTATGGATTTTATAATAATAAAAGGTTTATTTTTCATTTTATTCTTTAAAATTATAAGTAAGAATGATTATACCCAACCCATTCAATTAAGAATATTTATCCTTTTATTCATCCACAAAGATAGCATTCCCAAAAGAGGTTTGTGATAGAATCTCGAAATATTTAATTTCCACATCACATTGAGCTATCAAGGAATATGCAAAGTATGTGCATTTGTCAAAACTTTAATGGAAATTAATCAATTTGAGAAATTTCAATCTATTTTTAACCGGCCTGTCACCCAATCGTCGTTAAGCCGCAACTTAACGGTCCATTTAAATGTAATAGTTTTCCGTCATTTTGTCGCCAGTACAATGCCATAAAAAAGTCAAATATACAAAAGTCCAATACGGCCAGAGAGTGTGTGTTCTGGCCAGTTTCACGGTGCCGTCTCAGTCGCCGGGTAATGCCGCGAATGATATCATTGGCCCATTGACGTGGTAAAAGGGGATTGGTGGGGCCAAAGGCACCTTCGCGACTACAAGTTAAGTTTGGTGAAATGGCGGGGGTTTTTTTAAGGTAAAACCCCTTATACGAATTTTGGGCAACTGTGCGTATACGTAATTGCAAAGATAAAGAATTGAGGGTACAATTTATTGCACAATTATAATAAACTTAATACCGTGAAGTCCTCTTTAACTGAAACTATTTAAAACTATAGCTTGCAGGGGGTTTGCTTTTTAGTCATGGTAAAAAATACCAACAGCTTGATTTTAAATTAATAAAAGCTATAGCTTGTAACTTTACAGAAAATGTTAACAATTCTTTTTAAAACAAATAACTTGATGCCAAGATCCCTCTTAATAAAATCACGTATACGCCACTGATTGGGAGCACACTCTTGTAAGTAAGCGCAAAGATTGTGGCGCCGTCGAGAGCGCCAACTCACCTCGCTCCGCTCCCCGTTCTCCTGCTCAGATACTCTCCCGCACACCCACTCTGCCTCCGCGGTGCTCTCTCTCTCTCGACGCTTGTGTTTGTTTTTCGCTCATTATTTATTTTCATTTCGTTTTTGCTGTTTTCGCTTAAAAGTTAATATCAATATAGAAAGTGACGACCTGACGCGGCAAGCTGGCGCCACGAGCAACTTGGTCTCTCTCAGACATACATACATACATACATAAGCTCACACACGCACACGCGGCCCCAAGTGCCGCGCACACCTACATGGCGAAATAATCGCAACACCGCGCGGTCTCCCTCCCCCTCTGGATCCCTGATAAGGTAAGGGGGGGGGGCCAAAGAGAGACTGGACTGGAAACTCACCTTTCCCGTCAGTGGTGAACGACTCGAAGAGCGGTGGCGTTGGCGACTCCGTCCTCTTGAAGATGCTCGACGCCGAAATGCTGCTGCTCCGCGCACTCCACGTGCTCAGCGCCGCCGACTGTGCGTCGTTCTGCAAGTCTTCTTCGGGATCTGCAAGAATGGGACATTAAAGTTATCGTTCTGCTCGGCTTGGAGAGCTCTCCCCAATTTGGAGATGGACTTACCTGCATCTTTCAGTCTCTGCATTTTTGAGCGTTGGTATGGCGGCGGTTGGGGTTCTGAAAGTGCACGTAGAATCAAGAGAGGGGAATTGGTTAGATATCTAAAAGATACATTCGTTTTTAAAGCTTATACAGAGATCACGGGTTCATAATTATAAGAGTTATATTTTGGTTAACCAGAATTGTATTTGTACTATAACAAATTCTTAAGATACAATTTTTATAAATTGTAGAAACTTAGATTCTTTATTTCATATATTGCTACTTAACTTAGTGTTTTAACAATTACAACTAGTTAAAAGATAGATGGATTTACGGAAAACGGATTGAAAATAATCCTGTTAAAGAATAACTCATGAATATTTCTTTAGAAATTCAAAACTTCCTACAACTTATTTGTTTAAACAATAATAGAAAATAGAATTACCCAGTTATTAGTTTGCTATTCTACATCCCACTACCCCATCCAAATTTTATGAAAAATCCCCAATTGATGGTTTTTCGAATCATTCATAACCAAATTCAGAGTAGTAAGGACATGTTCACGGTTGATTACACGCAATTTTGAGTTAATCAAAAGTTCGAGTTATAAATGCGCGTCTTCTAGTGGGGCGCACATCGCGATGATGAGATCATGGTTCGGATCGCAAAACTAATACATACTAGTAGTGTTCAGATCGAATATTTGTACGGCAAATCAAAGCGAAACAAAAACAGAGAGGAGAGAAGAGAGGAGAAGCAAAGAGTGGAGGCGAGAAGAGAGCACAAAAGCCAAACAAAAACAAAGGCGGAGGCAGATCGGAGGAGGAAAAGGAAGAGGCGAAACCCCAGCGTAAGCGTAAGCAAGCCAAACATCGGCGGCGATATATAAATAAATATAGTAATCTTTGCATATCAGGCAGCAGGCAGCAAGCGGTCCCGAAATGGGGGACATTTTATTGGCGCAGCGCAGAAATCGTTTGATCTGCGGCGCTGTGTTTAATCTCGCTTACATTCTACTCCACTCCGTTTTCATTCTTCTCTCATTTCACTCCCAGAAAACAAAACAACAACTAAAAAATAAAAAAAAAAAACAAAGAGCCAAAAAGCAAAAAATCAAAAAAACAAACGGAACGGAACAGGTCGTATTTGATGGCAAAGATCCGCACAAACAAAAGCCTCAATGAATTGCTCGTCGGACCCCAAGATATTATTCATTCAATCCAATAAACTCAATAATTTATGAAACGTCGCATTAACATTTTAGCGGTTTAATTATAAAACTTTTTACTTTAGTTATGGGACGGCAAATATATGGAAAGTGATATCAATTAGGATTCAAACTAGCTTTAGCCTCAAACCAGAAAGTATTACTGAAAATATATTAAGTTTACTAGAAATCGGGTTAATTTTTTGGTTAGTTTTATTATTATTATGTTACAGATCTTGTAATCAAATCTAAATCAAAATCAGACTTTTAGGATTAATATAGGATTACGTTAATGCATTCATTACGCAACTTAGGAATAAACTAAATATGCTTTATTCATATATGGAGTTATTAAACCTAAAGTCCGTATGTGAACCAATTCTAAATCATAAAAAGGGTAATTTCAAATCAACATTTATTTTATTGCATAATAAATTTTCAATTCACAAACGAATCTAAAATGTTTGCCAACGCTTATATTTTATTGCAGTTAAAGGGGCACGGCAAATATGTAAAATCAACGAAATATGATTAAAATAAGCTTTACATATGAATGGGACTGATTAGCTTAAAAGCAATTAAATCTATATATTCAATAAAAAATTTATAATAAAATATAAAACAGTCTAGACTCTAGAACAAAAGCCGCCGGACGAAATGCAACAGGTAAGCAGCACAGATTTCGATCGCGATGAAAGATCTGTAAATGCTCTTGGTATTCTGACGGCGCATAAATCGCTTGATGTGCCTCGTCAACGGCGCCCGACGACTCGACGACTCAAATGTATCCATATACCGACCCATACCCGTGCCCGTGTCCGTTCCCGTTCCCGTGCCCATACCGTATCGTCTCGGTTCTCCAAGCCCCAGTGTACCAGTTAAACCTGATTACGATGAGGCGGCGGCGGCGGCCGCGTCATCGACGCCAACGTCGAAAATCTAACAATTCTTAAAAAAAGCACGAGCGCCGCAGCGAAACCGAAACTGAAACCGAACCAAAGGGAGAGCCAGAGCCAGCCGCCAGTCCCCAGTCCATTCCATTCCAGCCCCGCTGTCAACAAACTGATGGATGGATCGTATGACCAGTCGGCGAAATAGCCACAGTCAACTGAATAATATCCACGGTTCTGGGGCTATATATAGTTATAGTCTGGCTATACTGAGTCAGATTCCAGCAATTGAAATCGTAGCAAGCCCAAGGGTCCGCAGTTTTATTTATCAGCCATGTCCCAGATTCACATTTTGATCTAATTAAGTGAATTCGGCATTGATTACATCTAAGATTTCTAGAATTCTTTTTCAAGTTTAGGGTTTCAAGAGATATAAAGCCTATAGTTCATACAGATTACTAATTGATTCGGATTCTGATTCGTCTAGGATCATATTCCTTTTTGTTATCTAATTCTAGAATTTTTGGTTCTTAGGTTATTGACTTGAAAAACTTAAAGTTTCTGTCTGGAAAAACCACTTCATTCGAATACAAATTGAAACCGAGTATTAAAATGGCAAAATATGATCATTCTACAATAGACATGATAACATATTTTTGCACTTATGAGAAGACAGAATAAAAATCAAAGAGCAAAATCCAACTCAGAGTCTAAAATTTAATTTTTTTTGTAGCAGAGAAAATTGCAAAAGCCTGCAAGGTAATTAGTCAAGTTCCCCTTTAGGACCACTCAATAAGCCCGAAACAATGCTGACCAGCAAAAAACGAGAAAGAAAAAAGAAAAGATATGGACGTAAATGTGTATCTGTGGCCACTCTACAGGAACGTACAGAGCCCAGAGAGGCCGAGCTTTGTGGACAACAGCGGTCGAGCAAGAACCGCACCTCTCAATGGGTTCCGATCCGATCCGATGGATAGGGCCCAGGCACGCAAAATGATCCTTTTTATGGGTGCTCTCGTGGAGGAAGGGTCCAAAGACTGCCACCAGCGAGCGGCGACCACTCGTCGTTACAATTCCTGGAATTGTGTTCCCCGATGCCGATGCGGATGGAATAACATTATCGACTTGTTTAATGTGTTCGGCGCCATCATTAAAAAACCAGTCACTGTCGGGACGTCCCGTCCATCCGCCGTCCGTCCAGACGATGACACAGCCAGCGGAGCAGGAGGCGGCCGCCAGCAGAAACAGAGCCAGTTGCCTGTTGCACAGGTAAGTGGCACAGGTAAGCCATAAGGCAAGGTAAGGCATGGCCAGGCACAAGGCAAGGCAAGACAAGGCACGTTGGTAAGGGAAGCTGTATCTGAATCTGTACGGGTATCTGCCGCAGAACGGCACGAACAGAGTCTTCATGTTTCCCAAAAGATTGTGTTCTGTGCACAGGAATGTCGGTATAGACATGCCTTTTTGCCATCGCGCATCTACGGTGATTATCGTTAGTGGGGGCACTCTCTGAAAATACTGGCAAAAACGGTGATCTTTATCTTACCGGCTATTAAGCATAAAATCACAGAGTAAACATATACGATTTCCTAATTAATTTGTTTACAATCAACCCATAATCTCTGAGATGGCACTCATTATGGAGCTTTTTTCAGCACCTGGCGTCTCCAGGGAGAGATAACTTTTTCTATACTAGATCATATTAAAAATGTATGTATCTTAAAAGGAGGAATCTTTAGTCTTACGAAGTTAAGTTAATGAGTTAATGAATGCTTACAATATTGTCACAGAATGAAAATCTTAAAATCTTTTCCTTGTGATATGGTAAATCCTAAAGATACAGCTCTAGCTATCCCTAAGATACAGCTACAGAAGGTAGTCATCACCGGATGACTGAAGTTTTATACTTTTGGAGCTGTTTTCATTTGTAAGAATGCTACTTAGCAACACTTTCCTATTCCCTATTTACTTTTCTGCACATGTGCGATTTAGTTCCAGTTTAAGGTTAGAATTAAATTGATGAAAACAACCCATACTCATACCCACACTGATGATGTATTACATGCAGTTTAGTGCTGATATAATAGCCCGATTAGATTAACACCAGAACGAATGGATGGCTGGCTGGCCAGTTGTAAGCTCGGTCGAGTGATACGCACGTTCTAGATAGTGTGCGGTTCGATGGGCCCCAGTAAAACTGTCCGGCGACGGCAGGGGGGGTTATTAATAAATCGGACTCATCATCGAACACTCTACGTATGATGGAAAGTTAATCCCATGGCGATATGCTGTTAGTGCAGTGTGCATCTGTCTATCTGCATTCGATGCACCATACCCACACACACACAAGCAAGTGCAATATTTACGAATGTACAACTGCGGGAAAGAAAATAGCACTGCCAGCACAAATCATATTTAAGCACATTTTTAATTTGATGAAAACGTTAAAAAAAATTTTTTTTAAAATAAATACGGACTGAATGAAATCTCATCAAGATATTTAAGAAATTAGAAAAATGTTGACAAAAAGTAATAAAATATAAAATAGCTATTAAATTGTAAGTTAGGGATATTAAACTAATAAAAGAAAGTCTATCTTATTCTTCAATTAATATTTTTTATACGAAGTGTGTGCATTGCGCGTGCTAAAAATAAAAACAAACAAATCGGAAGGCGCACATGTACATATGTAGCATATAGACATGCACCGATGTTTGCCCGACTGTACATAGTGCGAATGGGATCTCTAAACGATGCGCCAACTAGCTGGTGGCGACGGATATGCCGCGGCCCCAACTACAGTGGAGCTTCCCCCATTGGGTCAAAATATTTTGCAATTGCAACGACCAGAACCGAAAGTTTTGTAAAAATCTTTACTCCAAACTTATAGATACAATCGAATAGACTTGCAAATCGTATTCATATTACAAATGTTGATATTTTTTATTTAATAATTTGAAAAATATGGGTGAAACGGGAATATAATGTAATACCTCAATATGAAGCTACAACTGTTCTTATCTTGCATTTTCACTATTTTAGAGCGCAAATATAGGTTTGGGTTAGGGAAGTTGGACTGTGTTTTACGAAACGTTCGAGTGCTCGGACTCTTACTTTGTAATGGTAATGGTAATGGGTATGGGCAATGGGTAACGGACTCCGCCGCCTTTGCTGACTCTGCTGTAGCTTTGGCTTTTGCGTTTGCGTTGGCGACGACGCCTGATTATTTCCTGGCGCCAGTTTCTAAATTTACGCAAATTATTTTCGAAAGAATTTAGTCGCCCGTCATGTTGGGCCGACCGTTTGCGTGGCGCTTTCACGCACATTCTCTCCTCTCTCTCTCACGCTGTCTGCAGGTGTGTGAGTTTGATAAAGCTGAATCAACGAGCAAGAGAGCGGCGGATTCGGTGGGTGTGTGTGTGCCGGTGTGTGTGAGTCTGGGCAAAAGTCAAGGCAGGAACTTGAAATTCAATTTTCTGCGGGAGCAATTTAATGCCTAATACAGACCGGTTGCACCTTGTCTCTTTTCTCTGCTTCTTCTCTCGCTCTTCCAGACCGAAAATACCCACACACACACACACACATAGGCAGAGTGCAACCCATGCTCATTGCGAAAAAAAAAAAGAATTAAATTCGCGAGCGGCGGCATTTTTGTGTGTGTGCCTCTGGCGCCACCAAATACAAGCAAACCGAATCGAGTGCAGCTGTGTGTGCAATCTACAGTCGCGTTCAGCAGTATTGACACAGCTGATTTATGTATGTACTTCTCCCCCCACAATCAAAAAGATTCAGATAAAGCTGCTTTAATAAAAGCAGCCATTATGCTACGGCCTTGATCATAGATTTCAATCAAAATCGCTGAACAAATATCCTCAAGATACTTTTATTTTAATTTGAAACCCCCTTTGACCCCGAGTCCTACCTGGCAGGTGCACTATGCGGCACCAGTGCAGCGGATTGCAGCACGTGTAGACGCAGTCTTGGGCGCTGGGACAGGCAGGCAGGCGCTTCAGCTCCTCGCCGCTCCTCAGTCCCGGCCAGAAGAAGAGCCGGCTGGCGGTCACATACGGCTCCCGATCCGCGATCGTTGTGTCCTGAATCAGGATGCACTGCAGGTAGGTGGGCGGCGTCGTCAAGGCGGTAGCGGAGGAGGTGGCCACGGCATCGCGTTGCGTCTTCGTCGGCTGATCCACGCGACTCTTGACGGCCAGTAGGAGCTCGGCTACCTGCTTCCGCTTGAGCGGCTTCATCAGTGCATCGAAATCCTCGCGCTGGCGCCGTAAACTCTGCGCTTGGGATTGGGCCGGCGTTTGGTAGGTTTGGTGGGCAGGAGATGCTTGCATCGTGGCTGGAATTGAGGACGTTGAAGATCCGCTGGTGGATTCCGTTCCGCTGCCGCAGCATTTCCGAAACATGGTCGCAAAGGTGTTGGCACTCGGCAGCCGGCGATCCACTTGTGGCTGTTGCAATTGCTGCTGCTGGGCATCCAGCGGTTCCTGATACCGATTCTGTTCCCGTTCCCGCTCCAGATCGCTTTCTTCGATCAACATATCGTCGCAGGAGTTTGCGCAACTGCAGCCAGGAGCGGTACAGCAGCGGTCGCAGGCCGATCCGAAGCTCAGAGATGACAGTTCCCGTTCCCGGGGATTTGGCAGGCGGCGATATGGATGGCTGTTGTTGTTGTTGTTGTTCTGGACTGGACTCTGACACGAGGAGCCGGAGCAGTCCATGGCGCAGGGCATCGAGTTGTAGGGTGGCGGCGGCGTCTGGCGCATGGCCAAGGAGTCCTCGTCCCAGGAGTAGCCAAGGGATGGAGGATGCAGAGCCTGCTGCTGCTGCTGATGATGATGATGAGGGCGGGGTCGATGTGGAGGGGGCGGCGGCCGTGGTAGCTGGAAGGGCGGCATTGGAGGCACCCCTTCGCGCGTACCCGGATTGTTTTTGAGCGCATAACGCCATAGATCTTTCTTCTTTTCGTTTGGGAATATCATGGAGGGACATACAATTTTGCGGTAACATCGATCCTATTGTATGCGCATTATTTGTAGTTGACTAACTTGGTTCGCGGACTCGACGGGGCCGGCTAGTCACGGTATTTGTTTACTCTTCACGTAGTTTTTGTTTTATTTTCTTAGGTTCACGGATGGGTCTGGGAACTGGGAACAGACGGGGTTCCGGTTCGGTCTAAGGTTCTCGGGGGGTCGGGAGCAGGGAGCTAAGAAACTTGGTGAAAGGTCTGCTGCACTCCTCGTATCACTCGTTGGCCTTGATATGCTTTCGTTGCGTTTGATATGTTTTATCCAGTGGTGTTGTGCACTCTGCAATAAAAAAGGAATATTTTGATTAGTTACGGGCCTAATTGGTCGTCGCAGCAGCGTTATATACACTGGTGTTTATGAAGAACACTGGTTTTCACTAGACCACTCGGCCATGAAGTTATTACCTCACATCAAATAAAATAAAAGTATAATACTAAGGAAATACCTATTTTGATCTAACAAAAATTACCAGAATAATGGATCTTAGCAAAATAATCTAGAAGTCAGGCTTTGGTAATGCAGAAATTATGGCCTACTTTTTGGCGAATATATCAGGGAAAAGTTGAAATCTCTTTGTTGCTTTTCAATTTGAAAATTTTATAAATACATATACATATGTACATATATCTTCTTTTTTTTTTAATTTTAAGTCAGGAATATATTAAATAAGTTTCTATTCTATAATTTTCAAGGATCCAAGTACCTAATTTCCTTTACGATAGTAGCAATTACTAGAACTTTTAGATACCACAAAACTTTAGATAAATATTGGAAAATACGACTGCATATCGATCCCCTTCTTTTTTTCCAGACTACGCCCCTTGCTGGTGGCAAGCGAGGAATCTGCTGCTTCCAGGCTGCGGATCGCTTGAGTGAGTAATGCTCCCCGCCCGCCGGCGCCAAGCCACACATGCAAGAGATCTGTGCGGCAGCATCAGCTGTCGGCGAGACAGAGACGGGCATACATGGGGGCAGCGGCAAAAGAGGGGGCCCGAGCGAGGAGCGCCGCAAATTAACAGCCCCAATCATGTGTGTATGAGTGCGTGTGCGTCTGTGTGTGGCCCATGCGAGCATTTTCATTTCCATTTTGTTGCTGGCATTTCTTGCGCTCCTTATCGACGACAAAAGTGGCGCCGCCGGCACGACGGCAACAACAACAACGCGCCAGCCGCAGCCACAGCAACAGCAACAAAATTACGAGTCAGCCCCACAAACACGCTCACCGACAGCACACTCGCGCACTCACTCACACAGATACAGAATGCTTGCGTGCAGAGCAGCAAGGCAGGGCGGCGGGCGAGCGAGCGAGAGGGAAGCGCTGGCGCCACTGACGTAATAAAAGAAATAATAGTAACGATGTCGGCGGCAGAGGCGGCAGCGGCGTCGTCGGAATGGCGCCACACCAATACAAGCTTATATCAGACAGACACGAACGGGGGGCGACGCGACGGTCGGTTTGTCAGCCGGTTTGACAAGTTGAAGAATCAACAATTTAAGGTTGAGGTGAGTTTGGAATAATCTACCGTAGCGTCGTACAGAAGAGAGTGCGCTGCCTTGTGTGTGTGTGTGAGTGTGTGTGGTGGGAATCAAATCGGTCGCAGATTCGGAACGGAACTCTCCTAAAAGCGATTCCAGAATTCTATGGGCTCCAAAGTTCTGTATCTCTTTGCGCCTTCAAAGATTTCGAAATCTTTTTTTAATTACCAGAAATGTAGCGGAGATTTCGAAAGTTGCATACACAGTTCTAAAACTCTACCGATTTTAAATTCCGTTATATTTTATTTACAAGAATGTACAATTCTTTTCTCTCTTCACAATGGTTATATTTCCAAATCACCATAATTTGAAAATATAGGGGTTTTCAAAATTTCCCGGAACTTTATATCTACAAGTACGCAACATCCAGAGGCAATGGGAATATTCTATTCGGAACATTTAAATGCCAAAGCAATAAACAGCAAGTTGAAAGAAAATCCATATACAATCCATATTCTTCAGAATTTATTCGAAACTGCAGAGTGATTGCTTTTCCCGATTTTAAGCTTTCATTAATATGTACATAGTATGTATGTATTATGTACATATATGTATATCTCTTTGTAGGTAGCACTTCTGATAATGAAAGCATGACTAATTGGAAGTTCAATTGGAAACAATCGGTAGATAGAGCTCCACGATTTGGTAACAGATACACAACACCTTGATTAGGAGATATGAATTAACTGAACTAGTTGTTTATAGGTGAACTTTTTAAAATACAAATGGGTGGACGAAGATACTTTAAAAATTGCAAATCAATCAATAGCTTAAATATGTGTATTGAATTTAAAGGTTTTTAAGTTTTAATATGCTAGCTAGATAAAAGCAAAGATTCCCTAACAGAACAATGCTGAAATTGCACTATGTATTTTTTAAAATGTTTCTAAGATATGCCGTGATTCCTATAAGAACACTTTTCTGAATTTCCATATCTTAAATTAGGGGACAAATTGTATCGTCTTGTTTCTACCACCAAGACATTGTTTGCATAATCACGACTGCTGATAGATATGCATTTATTTATAATAAAATAGGAGGTACTTACTGTTTCAAGTATATTTTGCAATTGGTATCCGTTTCAACCGTTTTTGATATGTATTTTGGTTTGCCATCCATGCGATAAATTACATGGGGTTTTTGATATGTTTGGGATTACACTTGATTTGTTTTGGATTTACATTGAACTGCAGAGGAAATCAATTTTTATTAATATTGCACAACGACATTTATATTGGGCTTAAAACACGTGCCGGCGGCGATTTTTGTTAAATTTCTTATTCAATTCGTGGATTGGTAATCGCAGTCTTATTTTCTGCACCGCCCTGCAGATGTGTGTGCTTATAAATGCCAGGTAATGTGTTGATTTCGAGCCGAAAAGAAATAATAACAAAATCAACGTGGTGGAAAAGGTGCTCTTTTTGTTTTGTTGTTTCGCGCTGCTTCGATTCTGCCGGCGCCGCTGCCGCATCTACGTACATATGTTTGTATATATGTATATATGAACGTACATGAAAGTTGTGTGTGTGTGTTTGTGGCCCAATGCAGGTACAATATGTGTACGTGGCTGGGGAACAATTGCACTTCTTTTCTTTTCAGTTATTTGCACAGTTAAAGTTTGGGTCCGCACACACACACGCACACGTGCAGAGCGAGCAGTGGGTTTATTATTTGTTGCTTTTCTTTCGCCTATTGATTTTTAATTTGCGCACACACACACACGCAGCGAGAGGCAAACGGGCGAGCGAGCTCGCAAATTAACACAATCTCCAATTGGAACTTGACAACGTGATCGGAGATCCGTAACCGTTAGAAAAAAGGCAGGAAAAGCCGGGCGGAGAGCGAAGAAGCTCTTCGCTTGCGGACTATACACACACAGGCACAGAGACACCACACACATGCACAGAATTCATAACAGCAAATAAGCGTTTTTCAGCGATTTTCAATCCACACAATTTTCACTTTGATTCCTCGGTTTTAAATTTTGCTTGCACTCACGCTTTATGTATTTTTTGCTCTTTCACTTTGATTTTCTTTTCGAGTGGCACCGGGGCAGATAGTTTTCGAACTCCACACTTGTAAACAACAACGGAAAGTTCGTGTTCCCGTTTCTCGAAAATAAAATACGAAATTCCGTACTTCCGGCGCTATCCCAAAAATCGGTCGACAGTTCCGCACACAAAAAGTATCATTTTATTGGATTACTCTGCGTGGAACGACGTTAAAAATCCATCTTTTTGTTGATATGTATCTTTTGGATGAACGATGTATCTTTTGGATGTATCTTTTGCATGAACGGGAACGAAACACACAAGTGGCGCGGCGACTATTTATTATTTATAATTTATTTGTTGCCGCTCCTCTTAAAAAATAAAATCTCAAGCATTAACCGTCCGGTGCCGTTTGAGTTTTTGTATCTGTATCTTTCGGATTTGTATTTTGTATCTCGCGCTCCCATATTTATAGGTTTTCCTCTCTCAAACATGAAAGAACATGTTGAAACAGAACACGTTGAAACAGAACTTGTTCGAACATGTTCCGTTGGAGCCGAGCTACCAGCGTTGTCAAACTTTTCGGTCTCCACCCACCACCCACCAGTGCTACCAGACTTTGGAGTCTCGAACTGCGCCATCGATGCTATACACTAGTCGGCACAATTATTTTGACAAATTAACTAACCCCTGTGAATTTTTCATTAAAAATTTTCAATGGTTTCATTAAGAATTCCTACTTATTTTTTACTTTTTGCACACCACCTATTTATACTTTAAAAACACTTAACTAATTATCCTTCATTGGAACTTAAAAAGATACAAACCAATTTACCAATTATTATGTAGAAATTAAAAATCAAACAAGTTTAAGATGGAAAAAATGTAATAATTAGGTAATTAGTAAAGTTTGTATTCTTCATTCGCTTCGACAACTTTTTAAGTAGTTCTGGCCTCCGATTTACCAAATTTTGAAGGATCTTTAAGGATATCTAAGGATATATCTTTACCTATCTAGGTAATTAAAAAAAATATATATTAATAATTTTCTAAAAAAATATTTCCTATTCCTGGTCCAAAATTTGAAAAGTATCTTGCATTTAAACACAAATCCTTAATGCACATGGGCCCCTTTTTAGTATCTCACATAAATACGTCGGTTTATATCGCTAAAAAACCGAAGAAAAACCTAACTCCCTCCCTATCCAGGGCGGCAAACCTGAGGAGCAAAGGCACATTTAGCGCGCTCTTCGTGGACGCAAAATGTGATGAATGTTTGTGATCAAGGGCATATCAGTTGCAATTGCCTTGCCCATGTCTGCCCAGACACCCGGACAAACGGACACACGCACGCCCATACAAACTGGCGCCCCTGCAGCGTGCCCACTCACACAAGCGTACTCTGCGAGGATCGGAGCGAACACTGCGCGAAAAAATGTCTTTTTACTAATAAAATAAAGCAAGAAAGTCTTAAAATCAATAATAAAAAACCTATAAAAAAATATCGATGCTTACTACTTAGTTAACATTTATACATTATATTAAGTTTTCCTAAGTATACAAATTTTTTCTCAGTGCCACGTTGCAGCAGGAACCCTGCTTGGTTCGTCAGTTCCAGCAAAACTACATAATTGTCTCTCGTTTGGACGACTTGAAAACACAAAAGCAAATAGGCTCCCGTCATTACGATAATAACAGGTCGGGAACAGGAGAACCCAGTCGGCCACTTGTGGAGTGGAACTGTCGGCCGACCGCTGATCTTCTTCGCAGGAGGAATTCGATCGCCGCGAACCGGCGTCGTGAGCGTTAAATAACCGAGAGAGTCGAGAGTCGAGGAGTTAAGAAGGGGGTTCGGTGTTGGGATGGGGATCGGACACCAGGCCCCCGCCCCCGTCTTGTGGAGGCATCACCTCCGGAGTCCGGACGAGACAGCAGCAGGAGTTTGAATACATTATTTTCTTGTGATACCAAAGACATTCCGCAAATGCTAAACAAATAATAAGACAGGTAAAGCTAACTTTGAAGACTCGTTTACTGCTGAGGGTTAATTATTTGGATTTCACTTATAAAAACTGAAAATTAAGATGACTAAAGTTTATACAAATATGAAGATTATATTTAAGTATATTTGCAATAAGATTATATTTGAAAGTATGATGAAGTATAACTTAATCTCAAGTATATTAAGGCCGTTAATCCTTTAAAATATGTTATATAAACAGAATTTTATCCGAATTATCCGTTTCTTTTAAAGAAATAAGCAATATTTCACATGATCTGATATTAGCCGCTCTGTTTAGCTAAAGATCTTGTATCGAATGTCATAATTCTACACGTGCCCATGCCCATCTTGAGAATTTAGCTCCATAAAACTGACATCTACATATAGTATGTAGAAATGCATAACGTGGCACATATGTATGTAGATTAGCATAAATATGGGCAAGGCTTATATAGTAGATGGTCATCTATGAAATCTTAACTCGCCCCACAGTCAACGCGTTAGCATGCTGGGAAAGTATCGGGTTTCGGTTTCGGCCTTGTTTTTTTTCGGGAAGAACAGAAATCTTTTGGGAATGCCGACAAACTGTGGAATTCGGGGTCATTCAGAATGTTTTCCAGCAAGGAAAAAAAAACTATAATTTGCTATCTGCAGAATTCTGGGAAGTACGGTTTGAGGCTAGCGAAAAATGATCTTGAAAGACTAGAAATCGGTGGGATTAGGATCTGCTTTATTTACAAAATTTCCCACACTGCTTTAAGAATAAACCTGCCGAGGCTAATAAGCTGTAATGGTACTTGATCTTCTGACCCTCTTTTTTTCGCTCCCGAATAATTGTTCAGTTGACAGGGGCCCACTTGGGTGGTCATTCATCCTTGAGAGTCCTCATCCTCGTCTTCATTCGCATTCTTGGCGCATCTTCTGCAATCGGCTATCAGCGGCAGCGACTTCCTCCGAAACAGACAAAATTCCTGGCAGAGCGGAAAACCAGTTTAGCATCGTTCCATCAACATCTTCTTATCCTGTGCAACTCTTTGAGATTTGTATTCCCCTTAACGAGTTGCAGGTTGGTTTCTTATTCATTGATATTCACGTCTGTCTCCGTTTCCCTCGCTCTTGGTTAGGTTTTAAGTTTCATAAGCTAATTTTTGAGAGTTCATTCAAAGAAGATAAATCTGAGTAGCGTGTGTCCCTGTTCCCTGAAGTCGGAAGAATTTGTCTGGCCTTTGAGCTCTCGAAAGCCAGATCGACTTACCTGTTAATTTTGATCAGAGGTCTTTGTTAAGGGAATATTTCGGCAGAGATCGGTAATAGTTAAGTTTTATGTTTCAAAGAGAATAATTTAGATTATTTCCTGATTGTATTTGACCATTTATTCATAATTATTTATGCATCTCTTTGAAATAAAGAAGAATTCCAAGATAGTTTATATTCCTTAAAAACCACAAGTATTTTTAAATATTTTGACAAGAACTAGACAACTCCACTTTGTTATTTTTACTTGTAGAGTTCTTAAATATTTCTTAAACATTCGTAAGTATATACAAATATTTACATTTATTTTCCACAAAGTTTATAATCATCTTTTTATTGATTGAAAACTTGACTAACCTGGTTTATTTGTCATTGATTATCTTTATGTTTATGTAATTCCTCTTGTCTGTTTAATAAATTGCACTCTTTGTTATAATTATTTGTAATGTTTTGTTCCTTTTTGAATGCACTATTATGATGGCGCGCGTTTGAACTCTACCGATGTAGCCCGACGTGTCCTGTGGCACATTTCTAAGCCAACTAAGCGCCTGTCCGTGGCAGGAGTCGTCCTTTTATAGCCACGGATACGGGTGCGCACTTGGGACTTGTGGCACTGCGCACGGACGCGGACTCGGACTCGCCGGCGGCACGGAAGAATCATTGGACAAGGCGCCGTCGCCGCCGTCGTCTGAAGCGAGCTTGCGAGTTGGAGTCCGCCTTGGACGCCGACGCCACTCGTCCGCGTCCCGAATTCTGACTCATTGTCAGTGTAGTCTCCACTCCGGCTATTCATGCACCCATACTGGCCCGCCACTGGCACTGGCACATGCATATGTATGGCTGGTTATCCGAGTTTATTGTCTTTCCCCGGTTGCTTTTTCTGTGGGGCACATTAGTTGTTTGGGTTTTTGTTTGTTTTGGTTTTTGGCTACCGGAGCTGGCGGCATCTTGGAATTGAGTTATAATGTTTTTTCAATAATTTGATATTTCATTATGGAATTTATTTAGGTTTGGGCATTACGCATTTCTAGTTGTGTTGGGATTAGTTATATTAAATAATTATCTAGATATAATAACACATTAAATAATTTATTTTTATTTTGTTTACAAATATTTCTTGCCTTTTTTGAATTTGTTTATATATTTTAAGTCACAAAAAATGGATTTATTCATATGATTATTTTTCTCTTAGTAGGTCAAACTTATATTACACATCTAACCAAATCTCTCTGCGATTATCTTGATTAATTAATGTCTTGTTAACATCCTCATACTTACACAATAACAAGAATAAGAAACCCGATTAAATTGAAAGAAATTGAGGGACTGCAAAAAGCATAGCGGAGCAAGTACATAAATTTTTAGTTGGCGTCTAGTCTAGTCTAGTCGTAGTCGCAGTGGTGTCTAAGCCGAAACCAATCTGCGCGCCATTTCGTTTTTCAAATGCTGGCTGCCGGCGTCTGACGATGGCGACTGGCGGCCCAAGTTGGCCTAAACCGCACAGCAAGCCCTAGTTCCAAATGGGAAGGGAAAGTTTACATTTCCCCCACCTTCACTGTGCACGGCGACGACCCCTTGGCAATTGGCGGAAAAATCCAAACAGCGATTCTCATTAACCGGTAATTAAGCTGTTAAATCAAATATAACCAGGTTGAACGTCAAGTTAATCAAGGCTTTTCTGGGCAGGTCTATTTTATGCATGTACAATAAGGGAAGAGCTGGGGACTTTAAAAAACAAATAACGATTTAAAAAACTTGAATATGTTTACATATGTATTTAAAAATATTTTTAAATATTGAAATTGATTTTATATAATTATATTGATAAAAAATATGTCAAAATGTACTTCTAAATTACGTATACGCCACATTGGAATAGTTTACAGGCACCAAATTCTTTGGGATATTTCAAACTAAAATACTTTATTTTACCTTTTTAAGATCCAGTCTTAGTGATCTGAAATGATTTTATTTTAAGTGTAACTTATCAGTTGATCTTTGTTTATAATTAAAACTCATTTGAGATCCTTTGAAGCAGATGGCATGGATCATTCCAGATCCTGGTTCACCCACATTTTAATGTGCTATAATGTGTTCTTGCAAAGGGAGAAGGCTTCATCCTTCTGTCCCCATCCTTTGTCCCCTTCCCCCATTTTCCCCCCCATCGACGGCGGTGTCGTCAACAAAAACAACGACCAGATAGACGCGACAATAACTCGTCATCATCGACGCGCCGGCTATTTTCGCATCTAATTGTGAGAGCAGCGGCGTTTGGCGCGCCAATGGTGGCAATAATAACGGCGCCCAGTGGCGCACACTTGGCCCGTTCGCAAATCAAAGTTCTGCGTATCCGCATCCGCCAGTGTCCTGTCCCGTCCGGGGCTGTGTACTATCCTGGCCAGAACTGCGGCACTGTCTGCTCCGCTCCGCTCCTCGACAGAGTCCTGTCGCGTGTTGTCGTCGTCGTGGCATTGTCGGTGTCGCCGAAGAAGCATCGCCGGGCGACTGGTCGCCGCAATCGTCTGTCTAAGTCTAGCCTTTGCTTACACTTGCAGAAAATGCTGGGAATCGATGAATAACGTCATACTTTTGGCGCCAAAGTGGGGAAACATAGGGAAATAACGTATGTTTATACCCTTAAAGGGTATAATAATTTTAATTTATTGAATTATAATATACTTAAAACAAGAAAGAAAGCTAACTTTGGCCAGCCAAAGTTTGTATACCCTTGCAGGTAACAATTAAAATATATCATAACTAAGCCAAAAATGAATTAATTTCGATTCGGAAAGCAGTTTTGTGTTAGTTGTTATTAATTTAAAAAAACTGCATACCAAATTTAAAATTTTAAGAAATCAAAATTTTTGGCCATATTAGCTAATTTTAATGATGTTACCCCTTATCAAATTTCGCAAAAATGGCCAAAAAATCGATTTCTTCCTAACATATCTAGAAAGATTTCCCTGTTGATGCTGATCAAGAATATATATGGTTTATGGGGTCGAAAATGATTTCTTCACTTAGAAAAATATTATTTTGTATTATAAAATCGGATTTTTATATTAAAAAACTTCTTGATTTTTTTAAATTAAAAATATCATAACTCGGCCAAATGAGCATTCATTTTAAATCGGAAAACTGTTCTGTGCCAGATTTTCTACAGTTTATAAATCTGCATACTTCATTTGAAAATTTTGAAAATTCAATTTTTTATCAAAATCAAAAATTTTAATGATGTAACCCCTTATAAAATTTTGCAAAAATGGCCAAAAATCGATTTTCTCCTGACATATCTAGAAAGATTCCCCTGTTGATGCTGATCAAGAATATATATGATTTATGGGGTCGAAATTGACTTCTACACTGGGTTTCAAGCTTTTGTCTTAAATAATAATACACCGCAAGGATATATTCATTTCAAAACATAAAATCTTTTTAAATCCTAATTCCACCTACCTCCTTTTTCCAAGTGTACAAAATGCTGCTGGCATGTGGCTGTGTGGGGTGGGCATGGGTGCGTGGGCTTCGCATCCCTTCGAGCTGGGCGCTGGGACTGGCACTGCTGCCGACAAGTTGTCGTCTTGGTGACCGTCGCCGTGCCGCCGTGGTTTGGCGTCGCCGACTCAGAAATTTGCAACAATTCTCGAGCGCGCCGCCGCCACTTGTTACGCACTTTGGCGCCTCCGCCCAACAAAATGTCCCTTACTGACGACGGGCCAACTGCCGACAGCCGACACTTCGACGCTTGATTCTGCGCCAAAAACAAAACGCAGACAGACACAAAGCACGGTCTGTCACCGCTCTCCATTGATGCGATGGAGCAGCCCCTGGCCCCCAACTATGATAAGCACATTGCGCGGTCGTTTACAATTGTTCATATGGATGTAATTGTAATTATTATTACCCAAAGGAAAGTTCTTGAAACGTATCAAGAAATTAGACTTCTAGCTTTAAAAAATACTACTACAAAACTAATACTTGTAGATAAAATAATTTTAATTTTGTTTGGACCAAGTCAATTTTTTTTGTTTCTAGATTTAGATTTCTATAATTTTATGGGATATATAGAGAAAATAGAATAAACCACATCGGCAAAATCACGACCCTGAGCTAGCACTAAGAATTATAACTTTTCTTGCCGTATTACTTTCTTCGAAAAAAACATAAATTTACCTCATAAACATTTATAATATTGTAATCTTTTCCAATATAATCTATATTCCATATAAAAGACCTTCTTTGGTTTCGGTGTGTTCTGTGAAATGGTATGCTTTATTTATTATACTCCTTGAAATCATATGAATTTTAAAAGTTGGTTTTTCAATCTGCAAACATATTTAAGTTTAAAAAAAATTGAAAGTGTTTTGTTGTTTTTTTCAGGTGATAAATACAAATTAATCTACAATAATTATTGTATATGCTTTTACGTTCTTAAACAGCTATCGTACTTTGACTCTTGACTTGCTTACAAAAAGCATCGTAATCTTGCGCAATCGAATGGTATTACCATTGTAGATACAAACATGAATTCAATTTTTAAAAAATATACTTAAGCACAATGGTCAAAAATGATAAAAAAAAGAAATAAAACTAAAAATAAACGAAATAAAATGAAAATGTTTCACAACGGATTCTTACAACAAATATCTATCCGTTGCGTTACAAAAGGTTTACGAAAATTGCATTTTTTTTGTTGGGTTTTTTTTTTTCTTTTTCTTTTTCTAATTTGAAATTTTCTTTGTGTTACACTAATTTTTTCCGACCATCTTCGTCTCGTTTAGGTTAAAAAGTCAAAATGTATCACAATTTTGATCATTTTGTTGTAATAAACACGTTTTCTCGACTGGCACCACTCACAATGCTAATTATTTAGTACACATTTATGCTGAATGTCTCGATTATGATTAGATCGGGTCTTACACAAATTTGATTCAATGAAACCCAAAATGTATTATACGTATAGGAGAAATTTCATAAAACCGATATTTACAAATACCAGGAAAGTAAATAGCTATTAATGGTTGCCTGTTTAGACGAGTATGCATAAAGGCGCTAAAAAGTGTTTTAGTTGTAGATACATATTATAGTTTCGTCCTCCGTTCGAGGCGTACAAATTATAGTGAAAGTCCTTTAGTTATTGTTTCAATTCGATGACAAAGTAGGAAAATTATCAGAATGATATAGGGGGGATTATCATAATAAATCTCTAAAGAAAATGCCGGAAAAGTACTCCTTATCAAATACGAAATGATATAGTATGTACAATGAGCAAAACCTACCATTCGATATATATTATTTATAAAACATGTTCTCTTCTGTCTCTTATACAATGTGTGTGTGTGTGTGCACATAATTTCGGATAAAATAACGTTTCTAACAAACTATTATCAAAGTTTATTGACCGTCGCCGAGTACTCTCTCATTTTCCGCGTGAGATTTGTATACCCTGTAGCAGCAATATGTTTTCAAGTAAACACGGTCGTACATATCGGTACATATGTAAGTATTGGATACATAATTTATACAAACATATGCGTAGTTGAGTAAAGCAAACTGAACTCGACTACATCAATTTTACAATTATCTGAATCCTCCCGATCAGGTGAAATAAAAGGCTAGAAACGCAACCTAATCGATTTGATGCCTGGCTTCGGTTATTAACGCTAAGAGGGCGTCCAGCTTTAGGTCTTTGAACCGCTCAAAGTGGTCCATTAGCGGCTGAATCGCATCCGACTCGATGGCCGCCGAGATGGTCTGATTCTGAATGGTGCGATTAAGGCAGGACGCTACCTGTGCCAAAAATTCTCGCCACCTCTGCCTGTTTTCCTCGATGAGGGTGGAGTCCGTTCGGGAAACATATAATTCCTCGGCGCGCAGTATAAGGGCAACCAGTGAAAGGATTCCGAACTACAAGCGAAGCAATCAGTTGGTACGTTTTAGCAAACAAAAGTAGGGATAACTTACGCGACTGCAGAAGATGCCCGTCAGCTTCTTGTCGTTCAGCGTGATGGCTGCTGAAATGCTCACTAGGTTCTCGAAACTGGCCTTGCTGATGTGCTTCTTAAATTCTGGATAGAGTGCGTACAAGAGTCCCTCAACATCGTCCTTGTCCTTCTTCACTACGGTCTGGAGCGAACAGAAGACACCGCTCCAAACTGTCCAGCAAACGCTTTGATCCGCAATGAAGGGCATAATGCGACGGAGAAGAATCTACAAGGATAAAGTATTGTTGCGTTACCATACTTTTCAATATTTTCCCCAACTCACCTTTCCCTTGCGCACATTCATCATGGACACCACCTTGTCAAAGGCCAGACCCGCCCTTAACTTATTGACCAGAGCCGACCTCGTCTCCACCTCGTAGTTGAACTTGTTCTTTAATTGCGGATTCATGGTCTGCGGATTGGCTGCCTCGCCGGCCCGTTCTTCGGCCGTTTTGTTGGCCAACTCCAGCTGCTCTAGGGCTGCGATACGCTCGGCCTCCTTTTTCTTTTTCAGCTCTATGGTGGCCATGACCTCGGGGCTCTCCAGATCCTCCAGCTTGAGCAGATAGCGGTACAGCGTCTCGATCAACAGCAAAATGTGACGCGACTTTCGCATGCTGCTCGGATTGACTTCGCTGCTTGCCGAGGGCAGCAGTGGAGTTCCTGCGTTGGATTTGGGGTTCGTGCTGGTGGAGGACGTAGCGGTGGCATCGGTGCCTGTGCTCGATTCGCCGCCCATTATGTCGGCGTCTATGATTTTGCGCGGCGCCGTCACACTGCCATACTGCAGCTTGCCCAGCGAGTTCTCAAATTTCAACGGCGAGAAGATGTAACCGGTCAGGTTGTTGTTGTTGCCACCAGGCCCATTGTTCGTGCTGCCTCCGCCCGTGCTGCTGGTGTTCTCCGAGTTGCGGCGCTCGCGTCCATGGCCATTGCGAGTTCCATTCTTGTTGCCCAGCTGGACGAGGATGAGCTGCGCATGGCCGCGCGGCTGGGTGAGCGGATGGTTCAGCTGGTTGTCCTTGTGCGCCTGGCTGTTGCGCATCTGCCCGTTCTGCTGAGCCTTGCGTTCCCTGTGCACCGTGAAGTAGTAATCGTCGATGTACGGCGTGTCCGTGTTCAACTGCGACAGCTGGATCCCAATCAGCCAGTGCTTGTCACGGGTACTCATCAGGTTCGCGTACTCATCGTACTCCTCCAATGGATAGTTCCCATCCGGACGCCGACCGAGCTGCTGCTGCTGCTGCATCTGGTTCTTTTGGCGGTCGCTGACCACGGAGCCGGCACGGCTTTGCTGCATCTGCCGGGCCACGGCGGCCTGCTGGAGCAGCGGATGGTTCTGCTGGATCTCCTGCACCAGCCTCATGTTAAACATGTTGTACATGGAGTTTGGCTGCTGACCGAGCAGGCTATTGGCCGACTGCAGTGGATGCGGCGGCATCCGCGGCTGCTGCATCTGGTGCGGATGTGGCGGCTGCATGAAGGCCGCCGGATGGAGGCCAGCGGCGCGCATTGCATTGAAGCTCGGATGCATGGCAAAGTTGTTCAGAGCCGTGGGCAGGGCGTGCGGATTGGGCAGTGGGCGCTGGTTGCCGCCGGGCAACGGAAAGTTGGGCGGCAAGTGCTGGGGCATCAGCGGATGCTGCGGCAGTTGGGGCATATTGCCGGGCATACCCGGCGGATAGATAAAGCCGGGAGGCGCTCGATTGCCACCCATGCCGTTTAGTTGCTGCTGCGACGGCGGTGTCGGGAGCAGCTCGGGCAGTTGATGGGGACCAGGGAAGCCCAAATTTGGCCTGGGTGGAGAGGTCTGCGGCGTTCCCAAGAAGCCAGGAGGTGCTGTGAATCGAAATTTTAATGTTTATGTTAGCCAGAAATTGGATCTTGAGAAGGGGACTCAATATTTATATTTGGTTTCAATGTTTTTCCAACTAATAAAGCACACAAATGGCTGGCTTACCCTTGTGTTGCTGCTGTTGTAACGCCTGCTGCTGCGGGGGCTGCTTCTGCTGATGCATCATAGTTGGTGTGGCCACCTGCTGCCTGTTGCTCAGGCTGAAGTCGTCGAACATCTTTCGCTCTGTTGATGGCTGTTGATGGTGATGCTGCTGCGGCGGCGGCTGTTGTTGCTGTTGCTGCTTGGGCATTGCCTGCTGGATAATCATATTGCGTTCAATGTCCTCGAGAGTGGTGATCTTTGGCCCGGCCTGCTGCGATGGTGGCGGCGGCAGGTGGTGCAGCGGGAAGTTGGCATTAGTCTCCGGCGGAGGCTTCATCTGGTGCTGTTGCTGGTGCGGCTGCTGTGGCTTGAAGGCGCTGCGCAGGGGCTCTCGAAAGAGTGGCTGGTTGTTCGGAAATGGCTGCGACGCCCAGACGGCAGAGTCCAGATTGATCCGATTGCTCAGACCACTGGCCTCGCTGTCGGCAAATGTGGAAAGGTCCATGTCGTCCAGCTTCATCGAAGAGAGGTTCAACTCCAGGTCGGAATCGCCAATATGGCGCGCCTGCCTGAAGGGGGCATTGAACGGGGCCGGTGTAGAGCCGATGGACGACGGACCGGACGACAGCAGGTTCTGGTGCCGAAAGGCTCCATTGCCATGGTCGGGAAAATCCACATCCGTGCTCCCGCCAGCAGACGCGTCTGCGGGCCGCTTGCGCACCCGCTCGCCATTGCCGCCGAGGCGCACCATCGTCTCGTGGGCCTCCTCCCAGTCGCCATTTATCGCCGATCCGAAGGTTTCGTCGTTCAGTGCATCATACTCCTCCTCCGCAATGCGCCCGTCGCCACCGTCCTCGTCCTGGGGATGCAATTGATACAAATACATTTAAATCACGCTCGTCCACGGCCCCCGCTGGCCTTCGATTGCCCCCTTTTGCGAAACCTCCGGAGGTGAAAAGCGCACACGAAGAGGCTGTTTCGAAGAAAAATCTCCACTCAAATGCCGCTCCCGCCGGGCCAGATTTCTTTCCCCATAAAACTACACCCGTGGAGGCGCCCCTTGCTCACCGGTATAGTTGTATCGAAGCCGAAAAACGAGTCATCCATGGCGAAAAACTATTGCTTTAAAAAAAATTATCATGACTTGTCAGTGACAAGTTGTCACCAGTGTGACCTAGCGATGGCCGGTCGGGCGGCTATCGATACCACTATCGAAAGAGCAGCTATCGATTGCATTTTATTAATTAATTAATTGCAACTAAAGTTAATTAAATAAAGCTTTTAAATCTTTGTTTCTGTAAAATTAAAATTAAACTAAAAAAAGAAAGAAATTATTTTGCAATCGCAGTGAAGGAGTCATCTCCGACCCTTTACATCATATGTATACATTTTTGGCAAAAAAAAATCTCAAATATTTCAAAAATTTTATTAGAATTATCAATTTTAAAACTGCCAATGCTGGAATTAAAAAAAAAAAATTAATTAAATGGTCGAGTTATAATATTTTTTTTTTTATTTTTACTAATAACTATAAATTTAAGAAATCTTTTTAAATTCCATATGTGCATTGCACATACCTTAGGTCTTCTTGGTGGTATATGAAGGCCTTAAATTAAAAAAATAATTAATTTAAAAAAATAAATAAAAAATATTTATAATAATTAATAAATAATAATTACCACCACAAAAAAGCTTTGCGAATGGAAATTAATAAATTTTAGCCTTAGTTATGGTCGATTTCAAATTCAACGCCTGATTCAAAATGCAAGGGTATACCAATTTCGGCATCTAGAGCCTACAATCCTTAATAATTAAATAAAAATAAATTGAAATATTTAAAATTTTATTTTTTACTGCAAAGACTACCCCATATAATCACTGGACAGGCGATATCCTGAACCAGTTCCGAACTATCGGTTAGTTCGTTGCCAGCACATCCCTAAATTACTGGTTCTTTTTGAGAAGACTGATTATTTTCCAAAACAACTTATTTAACCCGTGGAAGGAGCTTAAATGAAGCGAAAAACGAGTGAAATTTGGTGTTTCTTCCGGGCTGTGGATGACACCTATGCGTTGTGCAACATCTGCAAGGCAAAGTTGTCCTACAAGACGACCACCACCAATCTCAGCAAACACATGAACAGGATGCACCCAACGTCTCCCCTGTCGCAGAACCACAAATACAAATATCAAACGACGGGTAGCAGTAGCGCCATGGACCGGAATAAGGGCAAGCCTCGGAACTCGACGCAGGAGGTGATCCTGCTTGAGTTCGTAAAGAAGCATCCGCGGCTGCTGCAGAACCCGACGTGGGAAACGCGGAGCAATTTGGAGTCGTTGTGGGAGCAGCTCACCTCAGACCTGAATCGTCATGGACCCCCGCGAAAGGACGTGGCCACCTGGAAGAAGGTGGGAAATCCTTCGCCTCTGAATAACATTTACCCTTTTTACTCACTCTTTTGCGTTTTTACAGGCTTTGAAGGACTGGAAGAGGTTCATCCTAAAGAAGGTGGAAAAGAATGAGATGCACAATGTCCCCTTTGGTACCAGTCTCAATTCGTCAGAGGAAACAATAGCCACGTTGTGCCGCCTCAACGAGGATGTTAGCCAAATCATCATGAAGGTTTCCGATGACGACGAAATGAACGATGACCACTCCGCCACCGAGTTTGATGTGGACGACGTCGAGGATGTGGTTCCGGAGGATGACACTAATGCCCTGAACACCTCCACCGATTTCGTTTATGAGCCGGAGGAAACCAAAGCTGACATAGACCCTCTTTACCTGCAGTCCAGTAAACGTGCCGCGTTGGCAGCGAGTCGAACCGACGAAGAAACACTGCTGCTGGAGAAAATTAGCAATAATATTGGCATTGTCAACGATGCCACGAGCAGCGCCCTTAACGAGTTCTGTGTCCTGTACAAGCAGAAGTTGTATGAGGACAAGCGGCACCACCTCGCCATCGAACAGTTGATGGCGGAAAAAATCGAATTAAAGAAGAAACTCTTAGAAATCGAACAGCGAAAGCTGTTGCTTAAATGACAAAATTCACACCCAATAAAATAATTTAGTCTTAAGGATTAAGGACATTACATAAGCTAAAGTAAGTGTTGTTTATATTCCATCTTAGGCAAACAAAGACGTGACATTTAAATATATTAAAACTCATATTTTATTTTTACAAATTTAGCTAGTTTGCAATTGTTCGTCAAAGACCGCTTTTATGATCTCCTTGAATTCCAAGGGATAAAATGCATCACTCATAACAGCATCGTAGGCGTATTGCACGTCCTGTGGATTTAACAATTAGTAAGAAATACAGAAACACTGGAAATTGCAGCTCTTACCGCGTTTGAATCTTCTGAAGCTTCAGATCGATCTCCAGAGCTATCGCTCAGACCGCCCAAATCGCCGCAGGCGATGAAGGGCACTAGACGGCGGTTGACATCGGATCCAGTCTTCTGTGCCAGCACTCTGATATCATCTCGAGCCGTGTTAATCACCTGGGGAATGTAGCCGGCGGGCAGGCAGAACTCTGAGCACACTACAAACGCTTCTATGCTCGATGGACGCGAACTGGGCGGCTTGTAAATGTCGAATTTCTTGAAGAATATTTGCATCTGCGAGCTAAGCAGCCAGGTGGCATTACCCTTGAAGATCTTGGCCACAAAGGTGCCGCCAGTTTCCAGCACACAGGTGGCAATACTGAGGGCTGCCACCAAGAGCTGGTGCTGCATGTACTCGTCCATTTCGTGGACACCGGTGACATCCGGGGCACCGTCGCAGACCACAAGCTGCGCCTTTTCCTCGTTATTCCCACCAAAATGACCAATTATAGCTTCGGCAGTGGACTGCTTGGTGATGTCGCCCTGTAGCTGGATAACGCCCCGGATAGGAGCCATGGCCTGCAGGTCTACGGCAATGATCTTCACGGCGGCCTTCTCGTCGTCCGTTTGACAGGGATCGTATAGTTTCCGGGACAGCACCTGCGACCAGCTGCCAGGAGCAGCGCACAGATCCACCGCCCGCTGGACGCCTGTTTTAAAGTTTATAAAATATTAAAAGCCGAAAGGAGTGGGACCACCACGTTAAGCTTACCATCAAGTATACCGTAGGCTTCGTCCACGTGAAGGAGCTTAAAAGCACTCCTGGCACGCCAGCCTTCCTCCTTCGCCTGACGGTAGTAAATATCCCGTTTATCCTTTGAGGTTTTGCCCATATTTTAAGATTTTATTTACTAAAAGTTTGTCCCATGCTGGGGCTCTGAAATAATAGTGATGGTCTCTAAAAGAACTAGTTCTTTTATAGAATGGTATGACCTTAAATTTTATTTAATCAGGGTATTCCCTTGCCTTCCCTGAAAATATTACCAAAGTATCGCGATAGTTGGACGCCTATGTATTAAAAAAAAATTAATAAAACAGCTTATAATTAGACGAAGTGACTTGTACTCAGATGAGAGAGAGCGCGACATTTAATGAGACATTTTCTGTTCCTTTCTGGCACTTGTATCTATTATGGGTAATTAGGAATTTTGTTTTAAAGCACTGTAAAATTAGGAAAAATTCTTCTTCTGATTTATAAAATTATTCAAAGTCGATCTGAAATTGAAATTTAAACAAACGTATTATTTAAATTTATTTCATTTACAATAACAAAGTTCCTAGGAAATGCGCTTTCAACAATAAACAACATTTCTATCGCTCACAGATTCGGTCACACTTTCTAGCGCGAGAGCTTGAAAATTGCAAGTTCTCGTGAAATTTCTAAATTAACTACGAATTATGCGTAGGATACCATTGTATATTGTGGAGGACCCTTCTCCCGAGGACTCGGAATATGACACTATGACCCTTGTCATGTGTCCTCGCAACCTGATGTAAGTAACAATGCTTTTGTTCGACGACACGCGTCCTATCGCGACGACTTGATTTAATGTCTTTTTGTTTATACTTCACTTATCATTGTATTTCATCAAACATTAACCCAAATTTGTAATTCTAGAGAGTGTGAACTGTTCCTGAAGATCATGCGAAAGGAAACTGATGCGGCGTTCAAGGACTTTGCCGAGAACGCTGAAAGTTGCCTGGCGATTTCCAAAAAGTGCCTGAAGCTGAAAGACACCCATGTGATGAAACAGGTCTGTAGGCTGTTTCCTTTTGTTCAGATCGTTAAATTTATGTAGTACCACTTTTAGACCTTGCTAAATTTAAACGAAATCATTTGCCGGGGACCCAGTGAATCGACTTCATTCGTGGATGCGATCTTGGCCAGAAGTGTGGTCTACCTGCAGAATTGCGAGCATGCGGTAAACAATTTATACTATCTGCAGGTCTAATCAATGATTAATCTACTAATGATGGATGCACGCACATACTTTTCGTCCGTAGATCGCCTGCAATGACCTGCTATATTACGAATCGTTGCCGGTCGCCCTTAAAACAACGGAGGGAACCATAGTCTCTGAGATCTACTTGTGCGTTTGCCTGTATATATTGAGAAAATATCAAACGGCCAGGGACAAGTTGGCTTATGTGAAGAAGCTAATTGGTACACTAACACCCTAAATATATTGTATATACTAATTAATGTTTTTACAGATAAGGCCTCCATATCTGAAAACAGTGGTGAGTACAATAAAGAGTTGAACATTTTGTAAAGTTGATTCTAAATGTTATTGTTATTTGTTGTATCAAAGAAATGGCCAGCACTTTGTCGGTTCTAAAGCTTTATGAGGAGAAAATCAACCAATCCTCCAGGAATGTAGAGCTTTGCAAGCACACGGCTCGCAAGGTCTTTGAGCCGAATCTTGGTTATAAGTTCGGCAGGAAAATTCCCTACGCCAGCAAGGCCTGTAAATATGTGTAAGCTTAATTTTTATTAAATACCTTAATTTATTGAAATTACCTAAAATATATGTATTACAGCCCAAAGTCTGCTGATAATTCCGCCGCTGTTTTGGCCTCAAGTGATATTCCCAAAGGGGCAATAGTTCTAGTGGAGGATCCCCTCTTCTTTCAGTTCAGTGCACCGTTCCTGAACTGCAGTCTGTGCGAAACGCATCAGGAATTACTTTATACCTGCGATCACTGTCGTTACAAGACCTACTGCTCCAAGGAGTGCTCTGACTCCGATGCGGAAAAGCATAAGCTTGAATGTCAGGGCTATCGAATTGGGTTAATACCCATGCTAGAGGCCACAATTTTATTTCGATTATTTCTTAAATCAGCCGAATACGTATTTCCGGCTATAATGGACTTTACCATGGATGGCGGGTAAGCCTTAAGATATTTGTTTTAAATACTACTTGGAAATATTACGATTCCAGCGTTATAAACAATCCGCGCGACGCTTGGCACTTTATTCTGGAGCATGCCGAGGAGGAGGACGAAGAGTATCACATTGTGGGGGAATTTCTCGCCACACGGCCGGACTTCAAGCGACTCAGCAAGGAGCAGTATCGCGACGTGGTGTCCACGGCATTTCGCCTGGCGGTCTTCATATATACTGAGACAGATCTTGTGGACAAGTACTTTTATTTGCTGCGCCTGCAGAAGATCGACATGATCAACGTGATGGCCGCAGTACTTTTGCGCTTGGGCGCCCATGTTCTATTAAGCTCTCAGCACCACGAGATGTGGTATCCGAAACGCGGTGAATTCTTAAATGGAGCGCGTGTAGAGTTCGCCGCAACGTTCCCGCTACCGGTGCCATCTGAACGTATAATGGCTAACGCTTTTAGTTATTACAAAATCAATCCCCTTACCGATTTCGTGGAATGCTACAATAACGTAAAAAAGACGCCAGAGAATTCCGGAAACGGAAGAGACGCGCATGCCACGCAAGGTGAAAGTCCATTAGTCCATTTCGAAAATAAGCTATACTCAATGTGCCTGAAAAATCGGGATGTCGATTGTGTTGAGGACATCTTAGATGCGGATATACTGCCCATGCAGCTAATTGACAAAATTCTCGAAGACTTTAGCACACCCAAGCGCTGTCAGTTGCTAAAGAATCTTGCAAAATATTTTCACCTGTTCGTCCATCAGTACTTTAGCAAGTACACTGTAAATAATCGAATCTACCAAATGAAATCCTCGCTTTGTGCCACCTTAAAGACCTTTAAGCATTGTTGTAAAACTGAAAATGTAAAAGTGATGTATGTACGTTGACGCGTTTACAATTTATTTATGTTTCTAAGGTGTATGTTATTCCATTTCAGATTGCTACCTAGTGGCCACGTTTTGGGAGTGACAAGTGACCAAGTCAATGCGGGCGTTGAGTTGGTGGTGTCCAGTAACTTGATTAACCAACTTGACCAGAACCTGACATCAGAGAGGGCACAGTTCCAGGATTTTAAGTTTCCCTCATCTCTTAATGACGAAATGAATATCGTAAGGAATTGTTGCCTTTTAAAACACTTGTATATTAATTTTAAATATTTATTTTTAGTTTGGAAAAACAACTGAAAAGGCTTCCGAGCTGTTGCGGTACCACAAGTTACTTGTACATCAAATAAACAACAAGGTGTCGTTTCTAAAGGGTTCTCCAAGAGGTTTGTAAAACTGTTTTCCGTCTGAGTTTTGAATTACTAAGCTTATTTTGTATTTATATTTTAGATTTAAAGGTTCAGCATGATTTAATGACTTTGTATGGCACATACAACAGTTTTCTCACCTTGCATTTCCCCGAAACCCATGAAATGTGTTTGCTTGGAGTGCTCAAGTTTTCCATGTTTCTTGCCACAAATGGTAACGTGTGCACATTATGGTTTAAACATTATTTCAATAGTTACTATTTCAGGTTTCCTACAACATGCCAGTGATATTATCCTGCACGTGATTGAGTTGATAGAACTCAATGATATATATCTGATGGATATCGGCCTTTACCGACAGGTCTTCTGTGCCATTCAGCAGGTTATCGAACAATATATTGACATAATGTGAGTTTTCCCAGAATTTTGCATTATATATTTTGTTAATATTAGCTTGTGGCAGCAGGATCGATAGTCAGGAGCTGGGCTCTGAGTACCCCGAACTTATGCTGCTGAGCTGTGCGTGCCTTTTAAAGAGACTGCTGCGGCATCTCGGAAAGCTGCTTGACGATGAAGAGGCTTCCCGCTTATACATGGAATTCAGTACCTATCACATCAAATGGAAGACAATACTTAACTCGTACATACTAATGCCACCGGGCCTAAGGAAATATTTGTTGGAATCTAAATAGCTACACCTTATGATGTGTACCGAAGAGGCCTGACTGCACAAGTCCTTGTTGATAACCGAAGAACAATTAAGTTTATTTATGATACATTCCAGCCACTACACACACATGCCATCGACAATTTTTGTTTCGTTTTTATTTATTTACGCAAATGTTAAATATTTTATAAAGTTCGTTTAAATGAGCAGTTACCAATGGAACTATTATACAATAGTAATGCACTTGTATTAATTAAGGGTTTTATTAACATCTAACATTAAGTGAAGTTGCAGCACAAGAAGAGATTCGCCACCAAAAACATATTATTTTTTTAATTTTCAAGTTTTTTTGCAGTTAAGTTTTAGCCAGAAACCAAAAGACCTGAAAACGATGACTCAGAAGAGTGCAGCTTTCATTGTAGAATAAAAATCTGGCAAGATATATCTTATCTTACCTGCTTTTTAAGTTCATTTTTTAAGAAATTGACCATTCCAAATTATTTGCGAACGGAAAACACGTTCCGGTCGTCACTAGGCTATGAATTCGCCCACAGGTGGCCGCTGCCGAATATTGGAAATTATGCTCGCATATTTCTGCACGTTCTTCTATCTTGACGATCTTACCAAGAATTTCGCGTTGCATTATCACGTCTCCGGAGCGCGGAGATCGTGCGGGTCAGCTGCAGCCGCAATTCCGTATATATAGGCGCCGCGTCTGTGGGGCTTCATTGCGTTTCGAGGTGTCGTCGGTGCGATGAGAGTCTTTCTGTTGGTTTCAAGTGTGCTGGTTGTGGCGGTGGCCAGCCAATGTCCTTTTGCATCAATGGATCCGGTGTCCAGGACAAAGCGGGATACTTACGACATTCGTCCCGGGGTCAGTGATAGCAGCTTGGATGCTCTGATCAAGGACTTCCTGCCCAAGTTCGAGTCGAACTCTGCTCACAATAGTTGGGCGCCGTCTTCTGGACCCCAACAGCCCGTGAGGTGCGGTGTGCCGCCTCCCAGCTGCCTAAATGACACGCGCAATCTGCAGTACCGTAGTATCGACGGGTCCTGCAACAACCTGCTGTATCCGGACTACGGGATTGCAGTTTCCCGGTACCGTCGCCTCTTGCCGCCTCGGCAAGTGGAGCAGGCCCCGAATGCACGTCTGATCTCCCTGTCGGTGTACGGCGAAAAGACCAGCAACGACAGATTCCGCACCATGGCGGGCATGCAATGGGGTCAGTTCGTGGCCCACGACATTAGCCAGCTGACAACCCAAGGAGCTCCCCGGGATTGCTGTGCCGAGCCGGGTAATCCCCGCTGCCAGGTCATCAGCTTGCCCCGTGGAGGACCCATAGCATATCACACTGGCAAGAGCTGCCTGCCCTTCGCACGCAGTGTGTCCGAGGCGGATGCCATTTGCCCAAGGAGTGAGGCCCCCTATCCCGAGAAGCTGTCGGTGGCCACAGCCTACTTGGATCTATCCTCGGTGTATGGCAACACGCACTCGCAGAATCGGAAGGTGCGCCTCTTCAAGGGCGGTTTACTGCGGACGAGCTACATCAATGGCCAGCACTGGTTGCCTGTTAGCCAGAATCTTGAAGGGGAGTGTGGCACTCACAGCGAGTGCTACATTGTCCCGGACAAACGGAATCGCTTCCAGCCCACAGTTGCTGTACTGCACACCCTGCTGGTTCGGGAGCACAATCGCCTGGCCGAGAACCTGGCTCTGCTCAACTCCGACTACGATGACGAGCGCATCTTCCAGGAGGCGCGCAAGATCAACATTGCTCAGTACCAGAAGATCACCTATAACGACTGGCTTCCCCTGTTCGTGGGTCGCACTTATACCTATCTCAACGGTCTGGTCTATCCTGTGGAACCCACCGAATACGTCAATGATTACGACGAGACGGTTAACCCAGCTGCCTACGCGGAGTTCTCTGCTGCAGCGTTCCGCTATGCCCACACCCAGATACCCGGCTGGTTCTCGTAAGTATTATAGCCAAAGAAATCCTTAATATCCGTGCTCATTGCCTTAATTATCCCCTACAGTTTGGTGGCTCCCAATCGCAGCTCCAACAAGACTCTACGTCTGAGCGACTATTTTGATCGCTCGGAGACCATCTCGCTACTGAACAAGTACGACAACTTTGATGCCATGCTGAGGGGTCTGGCCACGCAGCTGCACAAGCGATCCGATGGAAACATTGATCGCGAGCTCAAGCACTACTTCAACCGCAAGGAGTTCGAGGAATACGGATCGGACCTGAAGGCCATCGACATCCAGAGGGCTCGGGACTTTGCCTTGGCCTCGTACAATGATGTGCGCGAGTTTTGTGGACTACGACGAGCTGTGGACTGGGCGGACTTTGCTCACGAGATCCAGGCAGAGGTATAAATGGGATAAATCCTTTCGAATTTCTTAACTTAGTAAAGTGTTTTTAGAAAATCTCTCTGCTGCGTCGCCTCTATGCCACTCCCGATGATGTGGAGTTGAGCGTGGGCGCTACCCTGGAATTCCACATCCCCGAGTCTCTATTCGGACCCACATTATTGTGTATAATTGGCAAACAATTCCACAATACCAGGCGTGCCGATAGATTCTTCTTTGAGCGCGAGCATCCAGCTGGCTTTTCGCGGGGTGAGTGATCTTATTACATTATTTGAGAAACGTTTGTAAATCTTTATCTACAGATCAACTGGCGGAGATCCGCAAGGTCAGTTTGGCCAGCTTGTTCTGTAACAATGCCCAATATCTGCACACCATCCAGCCGAATGTATTTGTGTTCCCCAATTCTCAGTGAGTTTTAAGATATTTTCCCTATAAAAGTCCCCTATTTAAACACAGTTTATTCTTAGAAATCCGCTCATCAACTGCCATGACGTACCTCAAATCGATCTAAGCAAGTGGCAAGATCTCAGGCCCCAGCTTGTGCATTAGCAGTCTTAATGGTACAGTGTGTCTAAAACATATTGGTTGGTCCAATTTGTTTATTTAGATACGAGCATTTATCTTTATATTTTTAAAAATATTTTTTACCTTCAATGAAATAATTGAAATCATCGAAAGTCTACATTTAGGAACTTTTATTGGCATTACGCTACAAGATTCATGCAAATAAAGGTATTGTTTATAAAATATATAATATTTGTGTATTTAAAATCGTGAGCTAAAACATTATCAATGAAGTAATATATTTTTTATTTATTTAAAATAACATTGTCAGACTCTAACTCTTGGCAGATTCTTATTTGATTCTGTAGTTTCTAAAGCTTCAGGTAAAGTTTAAATAATTATAGATACTGGAATACCAAACGGAGCATCGGGGACATTGGGAGAGGATGTATTATCCTCTTGTTGGAGACTGGAATTTATTGTGGTGGTCTCTGTGTAGGAAGTTAATGGGTCTTCGGTTGTAGTTTCTGCATCTAGACTTTCAGAACCATTGGCACTGGCTAATATTATAGCTTTCGTTGATTCAATATTATCTGTTTGATTGCTAAGTGGGCTATCAGTACTTGATGATGGTTCCAATGTAGTGAAATTATATATATTTTCTTCTTTACTATAATTGTCATTTGTAGTGACTTCTTCCGAAGACTCAGTAATGTTTTTGGATTTATCTGTGGTTTGTTCTGTCGCTTGGATATCATATTCTTCTAACTCACTCTTTATAGTTGAAGTATCTATATCATCAGAAAGAGTTGTATCTTGATTGGCTTCTTGATTTGAAATGGCTTCTATTTCATTCTTAGCCGGCCGAGTGTCTTGCATAATTAATTCTGATTCGGTTTTCTCATAATTATTTTCGATTATCTCATCTGTTTTGGTAGTTGAATCCATATTCAATTGATTTTCACTTGCAATATCATAAATTGTGGGCTGGGTAATACTTTCAAATGGGAAATCTTTCACTGTGGACGTTATTTCTAAATTATTTTCAGCTAAATCTGATTTCGTTGCCTCCGAATTATCTTCTACAATATCAGTGGTAGTTAATTCTATAATCCCTGGATTTTCTTCTTCAATTTTGGTTATTAAAGGTTGAGTAGTGCTTTCAGGAGCAGGTCTAGTTGTTTCTGAATTGTTTGTAATTATCACCGATTCTTGGCTTGAACTTGTATTGTTATTCTCTTGATTTTTATCTTCTATAACAATTATTGTAGGCTGCATTATACTTTCCATTGGGGTATCTTTAATCTCTAAATTATTTTGGTTTGCTTCTTGATCTATTTGTACTTTAGATACCTTTTCATTTAGAACTTCATCTTGTTTTATATCTAACTTGTCTTTCTGTTGAGTTGTTATATTTAGTGGAACCTTGTTTTGGCTACCTTTTACATCTTCAATGACTTGGTCTTTCTTTCCGGGAGATGTGACTTTACTGATACCTGAATCGATTCTTGTTTTATTTTTCGGTTTCTCGCCGAGTTTAGTTACCTTGTTTTTGCTTGGAGATTGCCGGCGATTTGGATTGCTCGAATTAGTTTGATTAGTTGTACTTGTAGTCTTAATTACCTTTCGTTTAGTGGTTTGTTGATGGCTTAAATTATTTGTTTTGTGGTGTTGGAAACTGGACATTGGCCTGGCAACGGTTTTTCTGTTCTTATGATACGGGTTTATCTTGTGGCTTTGATGGATTCTCTGGCGATGGGAAAGTGAGGAAGCCGTTGGTCTTCTACGACTCGGGTTCTTGTGGTTTTGGGTCAGCTGTGGCTTGGCAACTTTAACTTTTATTTTATCCAAATGTGCCCTAGAGGGTTGCGGTTCCTTGGGTTTATTAGTTTCTTTAATGGGCTGACTGTTATCGGGCTTTCGTGGGGGGTTCTCCCCCTTCGCGGCTTCCTTTGCCGGTAAATATACAATTGTTGGCCCTTGTCGATGACCTGAACCCTTTCCTGGGGCTCCTGGCACCCCGGGCGGGCCTGGGGGTCCAATGGGACCTGGAAATCCTGTATAGCCTGGCCTGCCTCTCTTACCCCGTTCTCCTTTCTCACCCCGGTCGCCGCGATCTCCTTTTTCTCCTGCGGGTCCCTCATCGCCTGGCAATCCAGGAATACCCGGAGGTCCTGGAGCGCCCGGCGGTCCGGGCTTGCACTGGCAATGGGAGTGATAGGGCGGAGGTGTATGGTGAGAGCCATAGCCATAAGGAGGAGGAGGAGGAGGCGGATGAGCTATCGTTTCGGGTCTGTAGTAGTACACGTCATAGTTATCATAGTGTGGATTCTTTTCTTTTGGCCGAGGTTCCCTTCTCGCCGGCCGAATGGCGCTCAAAGTCCACTTTCCCTCGCAGAGGGGGGAAACCGCTGGGAAACAAAGGAAGTAAGAATGCGGAATAATAAAATGAGATCTCCATTTCGCTCACCTGATAGTAGCAGAACAGCGAGCAGCCTCATGCTGAGGCCCAATCTTCGAGAGTGTGCACCTGTCCCTGTCAGAGCCCGTCTTATATAGCCCAGTAAAACAGTTGGGATGGGCGGGATCTATAATGGGTTAATTAGAAACACGTAAAATTCAAATCGCAGATCACCGATTTTGCAGCCCGCTAAACGGTCGTGCATAAATTTAAGCCATGACTTGGCCGGTTCTAGGAGGCATTAATTCATTGATCTGGGAATTAAATTGAAATTAAAATTTATTAACCGAATCAATGAAATTCTTGCTATATTAATTATTACCCCAAATAATATTTAAATTGATTTTAAGGCTACGCAAAAGTTTTTATTTACTGCACTCACGTGTTTTCTTTTTACGGTCCCTGCTCTCATTTTCTCCGCCTTTTGTTTTCTATATACTAGGACTATAAAAAAGAGATACCGCAAAAATGGAACGATCTGCCTTATCTGCTTTTTATGGATTTTAACGTTTGTTTTTTTTATATGGTGCTCATATAAATTGATATTAAGTAGCGAAATCCGATATGACACACGCTAAATTCTTGTGGGTAATAAACTAGTGGATCAATCATATGCACACAATCGTTAGATGTCCCAAAATGATGTAGTTTTCAGAATTGGGTTATTTATAATTCAATAATTTTGAATTTAAATATTGGGTTAATGTATTTTCTACTTATTCGTACAAATATGCTGCCGGTACTTTTGGGAGAACGAAGTCGGGGGTTAAATCTCAAAATTTATGGGTATCAAAAACACTTTTACTAGCTTTTTTGATATATCCGAGCACAAGTTTTGACAATATCCCTTTGTATTATGAAAGACGATGTTAGATTGGCAAACAAAGAATGTGCGTCATTGGTTCTATTGTTATATTTCTTTGTGATTTCACTTTTCACATGTCTTTCTTTATTGTTAACTTATAGAAATGCTTACAAAGCCGAACCAATTTCTAAGAACAACGGAACTATCGCCATAACAATGCGCGCTCTTACCACTAATTTATTTAAACTGTTCCTAAACAAATTTGCTATGATGATTTAATTAATAAATCCGATAAATGCAAAGGGGTTTATTGGTCTGGTCTCTTAGGGAAATTACTTTTGGGTTATTCTGTGGTTTCATTTCAGATAAGGGAATTTGATCAAAATATTTTCTATATTTCTGTTAGAAGACCCTTAAAATCTATATATCATTTGAAGAACACCCTTGATATCCATATTAGTGTGTCGTGGCAAAAACACAACTCAACAACACTATATTCTGCGTGGTCACTTCCTCTTCCGTTTTTAATCTTCTGAGAGAGAAGACGTGTTTTCTGATTTTCATTAAATAAAATAAAGTGCAGTGCGTCGAAAAGAACTAAATAAAAAGGAAATATTAAACTTGATTTAAACAAGAAGAAGCCGTTGTAATGGATGGGTGTTGACTGGATGGGATTGAGGGGAGATATTGCTGGATTCATCGCGCAGCCTTGTTTTCTGAAAGAGAAGCTTCTGGACCTTTTAATAAATTCAAAATGCGAATTTGGATATAAATTAAAATGTGAAGTATTTCAGCTAACTCAAAGTATTACCAGCTCGATTTCATATAATATGTAAGTAAATCTAGAACCGAATATACAAAACAGATCAGACGCGATTCCCTTGATTACCTAGAATTTCCTATCATCGAACTCTTCCCAATAATTTGTTAAAAATCGCTTAAACATAAAAAAATTATTTAAAATAATATTAAAATAAAACAAAACATCGCAACAATTACATAGTTAAATCGGTTTATTTTCATTTTTCATTGGCAAGACTAGGACGACTCATACTGTTCATAGGCATAAATGTGAAAGGGATTTCTTGGAGTTCCAATGGCCAGGATAATTGGCCGACCTTTGTTGTTGGTTCGCTGCTCGATAGGCTCGACCTCGAAGGATGGTTCCTCCTCCATTGTCGGTACAAACTCCAGTTGTTCCTCCATGACGGGCTCCTCTTCTATGGGCTCTTCCTCTCCAGCGATCTCCATATTGGTCTCTGCACTAACATTTGGATCCTCTTCAGGGGCTTCTTCAACGGATGCTGCTGGCTCGACTTTGTCCAGGGTATTATCAATATAGGTGACATAGCCAGTGTCCTCGGGTTCCTCGGGCTCGAAATCAGCGGGATCGTACGGCATCTCTTCCGCAGTCTCCGGGATGTCATTCTCCTCGACTAGATTTTCGACAATCTCCACGTCGGCATCTAATAAGTCAAGATCATCGCGCGGCACCTGTTCGCCGCTATCATGGGGCTTTTCAGGCACTGGAGGAGTACCTCCTTTGGGGTCTCCGTTGTGTCCACCTCCGTTGTGTCCACCTCCGTTGTGTCCACCTCCGTTGTGTCCACCTCCGTTGTGTCCACCTCCGTTGTGTCCACCTCCGTTGTGTCCACCTCCATTGTGTCCACCTCCGTTGTGTCCACCTCCGTTGTGTCCACCTCCGTTGTGTCCACCTCCGTTGTGTCCACCTCCGTTGTGTCCACCTCCAGTTGTGTCCACCTCCGTTGTGTCCACCTCCGTTGTGTCCACCTCCGTTGTGTCCACCTCCGTTGTGTCCACCTCCGTTGTGTCCACCTCCGTTGTGTCCACCTCCGTTGTGGCCTCCATTTCCGTGATGATGCGAGGGCGGGTAGTGGCTATGGCCTCCATTTCCGTGATGATGCGAGGGCGGGTGGTGCCCGCCATGCCCTCCATGATTGTGGGAGGGATGATGATGATGATGTCCCTTGTCACCGTCGTGTGGGTGGTGATGATGTCCCTTGTCTCCATCGTGCGGATAGTGTGGATAATGTGGCGGGTATCCGCCATGATGAGGTGGCGGGTGGTGTCCTCCCTTATTGTGGCCCGGTGGATAGTAGTGATGATGGTGTCCTCCCTTGTCACCCTTGTGATGTCCTTTGTCACCCTTGTGACCCTTAGAGGGCCAGGGCACTGGCACAGGGAAGGGGACTGGGAAGGGAAGTTGTCCGCCCGGACCTGGTGGCGGATAGGGCGGTGGATAAGGGTATGGGTAAGGATATGGCGGATATGGGGGTGGCGGAGGCGGCGGCGGCGGAGGAGGAATAGTATTGCCGGGAGGTCCTGGCGGGCCAGGAGGTCCGTTTCCTGTAAGAAAAATAAGAAAATAAGAATACAAAATTAGAAATATGTAGAGAAAACAAGAAAGCAAAAGCAAACAAGCCAATGTGCAAAATCCTGCGCTAAAGGACTCCCGGGTACTTGGCTTGGGAATCTCCGTTTTAAAGCAAATGAGCTTTGAAATAATTCGCTAATAATACTGATTACTCACCAGGTGGGCCAGGCGGACCAGGAGGTCCCTTCGATCCCTTGTGATGATGATGGCCACCGCCCTTCGAAGGAGAGGGAATGGGTACGGGAATGATCACAGGAGGTGGAGGTGGAGGCGGCGGGTAAGGATGATGTGGATGGTGATGATGATGTGGTGGAGGCGGGGGTGGGGGCGGCGGCGGCGGAGCTGGTGTCGGCGGCGGCGAATGATGATGATGATGGTGATCGTGGTGACCGTGCCCATGATGACCATCATGTCCCTTGTGGCTGGGAGGTCCTGGAAGTCCCGGCGGCCCAATGGGACCCGGAAAACCGGGAGGGCCGGCAGAACCATGATGTCCGCGTTCTCCCTTTTCGCCGCGCTCTCCCTTGTCTCCTTTGTCGCCCTTAGAACCCTTCGATCCTTGCTGGCCAGGTGTTCCGGGTATTCCAGGCGGTCCCGGAGGACCTGGCGGTCCCGGCGGGCAGTTGCAATGGTGCATAGGCGGCGGAGGTGGAGGCGGAGGCGGGTAGTAGTGCTGCGGTGGCAGCTTGTAGATTACACTTTGTGGCGGCGAGGGAGCCGGAGCGGCTTGAAGCGAGGCAATCAGACGGCCGGTCTCTTGATCCGGCTTCTTGGCACTCGCCTCCAGGGCCAGGGCCAAGCCTGGAATGAGGAAAATCAAATCAATATTAAATTGAAATCAATCCGGCTTAACCCATATTCATCGGGGTAATCCCTTACCTAGCCAGAAGATCACTGCGAACAGCCTCATGGCGAAATGGTATCTGCTGCCTTTCGCCGCCGGATGGATCACTTTTATACCGCATTATGAACTGTTAATCTCGTATGCACACTTTGTTCAGATCACTTTCATTAATCTAGATTCACCAGAACCGTTATATCATGTCCATTCAGAAATCCGCGCGGCGAATCTCTCGGAAAATATGCAAACCTGGTCGACCGACCGATGATGATGCCAGCGATTTAATGATGCTATCTTTCGATGTTCTCCCAATGTTCATGCAAATTTATGCCAATTCAAAAAGTGGACCGCCTCTGAAGTATTAATATGCTGATTCCTATGTATGAATACCTTCGAAGATGTTAGCCAAGAAGAACAAATTCTTTGTTGGCCGATTGTCTCGTTTACGACGTGGATCGACAAAGCCTCAAAGATGGCAGAAAAAAGCGTTTTGTCTCTTAATTGGCCGTTTCTATCAAGTTGTTCACACCTCCAGTCGCGCGCCGGCATATGATTAACCCTGATTGTAAGGCTCGAACCCAAAGTCAACGAAAGTGTAAAGGTTTTCGATTCTCCAGCATTATTCATTATCTGAGCTAAAGTCTTACGTAAGAAGGGGGCGTTGCCGCTGTGTTCTGTTCGATGTCCGGCATCAATCCCTTCTTAAATGCCCTTGACTCGGTGGTGTTTAAGATCTATCTTTCAGATTGACATACGTATTTTTGTCAGCTTTTTTAACCCCTGGATGGGGTTTTAGTCCGAGTTTTGTTAAGCAATCATTGAGTCATTTCTGACCCTATAAATCCTCTTTATTCTTTATAAGCATTTAAACGAATCCAAGTTTATAGTAAAGGACTTTTATTTCTGTACATAAAATTGGTTTGGGGCATTATCATACAAGGGGGAGTGGGGAGCGATTGAGTTAATGATTATGTTACTGATTAAGCTAAAGGTATTTTGTATTCAACTAGTTAATAATAGATCGCACGGCGAAGCGCCAGCGATCACTTCTTTCCGAAATGAGCGGACGGATCTACCGCGGCATATGGCTTTTGGTCAATCCACTTGGTGAGGTCGACTTGTGGAATATTCGAGCACGGCAGGATGGGATTCCTGGAATAGAAAATAATTCAATTAAACTCATAGTTTCATTGATTCTCTTTCAAAGCCAAACTCACGAATGGGAAACCGTTCGGAAAGCCTCGGGCTGCATGGAAGTAATGTGGTTGCCATTATCGCACAGAAGACGGGCCATACTCGCCTTTTTCAGCTCGGCAAGTTGGTCTAAGAAATGGGATTTAATATATTAATAAATTTATTTTATATCAAGAGAGAGAGAGAGCAAGAGATGTATATTTACCCGGGGTAAATCCAGTAAGCTTGTCTCCGTTCTCGAAGAAGAACCGATCTCCAACTCGAGTGCGGTAGAATTGCTCAGTGAGAATGCACAGGAAGGTGGGTCCGGCCAGAGCTCCGGCTACATGGGCTTCCAAGGAGGCTCCGACAGTCAGGTCCACATCCTCGTGGCTCTCGTACAGAGACTTGAGCTTTTCCAGAATCGGAGGACTGATCAGATCGCCATAGCCCTCCCACGAGTGGGCTCGCCTCAGGCCGCAGAACTCACGCATGTCGTTGTAGCTGGCCAGACCGTGATCACGATTGCGCTGAATGTCCAAGGATCGCAGATCCGAACCGAAGGGCATGTTTCTCCTGAACAAGAAGTGCTTAATCTGCAACGAAAAAGTCCCAAGTGAGCGGAGTCCGATGGCTGGTGAATCAGGTGGTTACATACCTGTCTGTCAAAGTTAATATCGGTCAGTTCCTCCGGTTGAGTGGCATGTCCTCGGGTCAAAGAGTCGAAGTTATCGCCAACCTCGATGATGCCGGGACGGTTGAACCAGTCGCTGAGGGTCAGGGATCCGAGCACTTGACGCAGCTCCGACAACAAGCTGAGATTGTTTTTAGAAAAGGTTTTTATTATTTAAAATATTTAAGTATTCTACGATTCTATTAATAAGATAGCATTTGTATCTGATGTTTGTAAATATTGTTTAAATATTTAAAGACTTGAAACCTACTCTTTGGTGTTCCATTCAATAAATAATTTATTTTAATTAATGCAAACATGTATTTAGGTTAGTCTATAATCTAAGCGGAATAAGAGTTCTTTGCCATTTTCTGGCATTTCATCTTGTTCGACTAGTTTAAACAATGAAAAAACAAAAGAAAAATATGAAATATAATGAACTAACAACGTTTAGTTGGGTTGAGACGGTAATAAGTTGGAGCAATGATTTGGGAATGGAGGGGAAACCATCTAGCTTAATGATCTCCAAAATACTTACTCCAAACGGCCTTCGATCTGCGAGTGGAAGTATCTGAAGGCGGCAGTTGCGTGCTCGTTGAGAACCGCCGGATCGATATTGGTATCAAAGTCGTTGATAAAGCTTCCGGGCGGGGCCTTGTATATAAGCCGGTTCTTCAGCATGTTCTCGCCGCCCAGGAAGATGGGCAGCCACTCGTAGTAGCTGATCTGCTGGTACTGGGCAATGTTGATCTTGCGCGCCTCCTGGAACAGCGTCCGATCATCGTAGTGCGGGTTCAAGGCGGCCAAGTGGTCCGCAATGCGGTTGTGCTCGCGCAGCAGGACCGTCTGGAGGATGGCCAAACCCGGGTTCTGGTTGACCCTCACATCGCCGGCACGGTAGCACACCTCGCTGGCATCCACAGCATCACAGTCGCCGGTGACATTCCTGGACAGTGGCATCCATTTGGCGCCATTACGCTCCTCCACAATCATCCGTCCGCCCTGGAACTCTCGGATGTCGCTGTTTTGCTGGATGGAGTTGCCATAGACCAGCGAAAGATCCAAGTAAGAGGTGACCACAGTCAGCTGCTCCGCCGGCCCGCCGCGGTACTGACAGTTCGAGTCGCGATCTGTGAGCGTGCGCACGAAGTTGAGACATTCGGTGCCCACCTGGGAGTAGGCGGGATCGTGGGGCGGCACAATGATAGCGAAGCATGTCTTGTGGGCAGTGTCCAGGCCAATTAGGCGGCCATCGTCCGTGCAGCAGCGAGTGGGATGCTTCTCTGTGGTAGGAAATCATTCATTTAAATATTTAAAGCAAAGCTAGTGATCTTCACGCTCAGATTTGCATGAAAGTGAATGCACTTACTCGACTGGGTGCCTCCCGCCTGCATGCTCATGTCGTGCGTCATGATCTGGCCCCACTGCATGTTGTGCAGCGTGAACTCGGGATCGGGCACATCCTGCTCCCCGAAGGCCACCAGGGACACCAGACGGGCGCTTGGCAGCTCGCCTCCGGTTACGGATCTAGTGGGCGCCGAGATACCATCGGCGTACTTGGGTGTCATCAGGCGACCATATCTGGAAAGGACTTGACTAAGAACCTGCAGGAAATGTACGTATTTTACTTGGTTATCACCTGGCGTTGGCCACTCCGAGCTCAGGTCGCTCCAGATGGTTGCAGGATCCATCGAGCGTGCGATAGGCAGTCTTCTCGCAAACTGCCGGCGGAGCAGCACAGGCCACCCGACCCGCTGTGGGAAAACTGTAGCCGTAGGCAGTCACTGGAGTACTGGCAGGAGCTGAGAATGGATGCTGGGGAGCCGGAGAAGTGGGCAGGCTATTGCTAAAAAATAATTTAAAGGTCATGTAAAATAGTGGGTGGAATAGGTAAGAGTTAATCTTACCCCACAACAAATTGGGATGGAGCCGATCCTTGGAGGTACCTATAGCCATGGAAACTAGGATAAGACGCCGGCTGGTTATGCACTATATGATAGCCCGTGGAGACTTTGAGGCCAAGTGCACTGGCCATAAGCCCCAAGAGGGATAAGAACAGAAAATCTCTTGCTCGGATCATCTGAAATTCAATGGAAAGCAAGGTTGTTAAAGGTTGTTAAAGCTAACGTAATTTAAATACAAATAAGAAAAAAAAACAATCTGGTCAGAGTTGCTTTGTTAAATTTGTGTCTGTCTTAAATGAGTTGTTTCCAGGAAACATTAAATATTTTTGTAGAGGCCTCTAATCACTCACTAATGCCTGGTTTCCCTAGTAAATTCCATAAAAACTGATAACAGCTCCGAAAGATCGATTTAAAAATAATTGCAATATAACAGGTTTTGAGATCGACTTTTTAGCCAATCTTGGTTTCAACACACTTAATGGGAATTTCATTTAAATGTACATTATCCAAAGAATGCTGATTAAGCGGTCACAGTAATGTTGTTTTCGGGAAATATGGAATTCAAGACAAATTCATCGTATTTGTAGACTGTGTAGTCCAAGGTCTGCGCCGTTTATGGTAACACCGTCGACAATCCATTCATATTGCATCCTGAACTGCATGGGAAAAGCTGTTAGCACTCCTAACACATTCGGCAATTTATGCACTGCTGGTATGGTAACCCACATAAAGCGCTGGGCTTTTGCAGAGCCAAAAGAGCAGACATCGTATGTGTGAGGCTTGTGTGGAGGCTGCAAAGCCGTTTTGGCCACTGGAAGCCAACGCCGACGACTTGGACATGTCGGACACATTGGACATTGGACACATTTCATGTTCGCCGAGCAAGTGAACTACAACTGAAACGCTTTGCATTTTTTTCTCTGCGGTCTCCAATCGATCTGGACTCCGAATACGAGACGGAGTCCGATCTGGACTCCTTTGGCCTGGCATATGGTCACAACAGGTTTCATCACCGTTTTGGTGCGCATTCATTATTATTTATTGCGACATTTTAGTACGAACATGTTCATTGCTCAGACCCGATTCGCGGGGTATTATGTGCATTATATGGTATTGGCCCAAGCCCCGGCCAAGAGCCGCAGCCTCCGGCTAAAAATCTGAGCACAATGAAGCCGATTCAGATTCGTGTGCAAGCGTGAAAAGTCTCATAATTGTTTTATGGCCAATTTGCAGGCTACTTATGTAAACAGACCGAATCGACAGTAATGGTTAGCTTTACATAATGAATTTGTTGTCGGCGGCGGCGGCCCCGTTCTGTGGCTCCCAAAACCCACTCCGCGCCACGATTCCGCCAGCCAACCTTTACCACAAAAGGCCAGCTGCTGGCTGCTGCTGCTGCATGCAAATCCGTATCCAACATCCAAATCCCAATCCAAGTGCCCAGCTAATGCTCGTGGCAGAAACCAGCCTAGGAAAACTAAGAAAACAAAGGCTGAGTCTGCCTCTGTCAATGTTTTAATTGCATGCCGTGCAGAACAATGGGCCAGACAACAATTCGAGTTCGTGCCATGAGTCTTACACTTTCTTGGATCTGGACTTTACCGCCACCGCCGCACTCAGGGCTTTAATCCGATTGGAAATCGCCCTCTCCGGGAAACCCAGGCTTGCACTCGACAAAACGGATTGAAAGTAGGGTGAAGATATTTTCATTCTTTTGCAGAAAAACTACTACTACTCTATACCGGTCCCCCATTTATTTCTTTCCTGTTTTTCTCCAAGTGCATCTCAAGAGTTTCTAAATTCAAATAGGGTCAGCGAGTGATTGGAACCGATGATTGGCCGGATTTGAAAACCACAACGCCACCGTCGCCGCTTGTCAATAAAGAAAAAGAGCGCCTGCACTCGAATCACAATCTTAGTCCGAGTCTCCGAGTTTGAATTGCAGTCTCAGGTCTCATTTTCTGGCGGACACGCCAAGGCAATCCATATGCAAACTTAAACTCAACTCAACGGCAGCCGTTGGTCAGGGCCGTCATCGACATTGTCGGGTCTTAATGAGCTCCAACTTAGCTAAAGCCAAGCACGAATGACGGCGACATAAAAATATCTGAATATCTATCTAAGAAATCTGTAACACAGAGCACTGGAATAATTCAGAAAGATCTAAACGATATTCGATTAGATGCAGTTGTCATGGCATGAATTGTTTTCATCGGTCTCAGGGATCTTTAAAGAACCGCTAAGAGTCCCTTTCTAAAAGCTTAAAATATGCAAGAATTTTAAGTGACCAGTAGCAGCATGTAAGAATCAGCTTGGCTATAATAAACATTTATCTATTTTGTTGAGAATAAATTAAAGTATATAAAGGGTTTGGGGAAGAATTTGAAATCTAAAATTTTAGGTTTTTTAAGACAGTTTCATTTATAAAATCCCTTGGATCACCTGTTATGTTGTTAGAGTTCCTAAAGAAATTTGTAAATATTTTAAGGGATTGTCTTTTGTTTAGTAAAAAGACAGTATAAAGATTCCATAGAAAAGCTGATGATAGCTTTGAGGTTACGATTGACAGCAATCAGTGCTAAGTACAAGTAAATAAAGTATGAAAATCTACATAAACTAATGCTACTTTTAATACAAACTTAGCGCCTCTTAAATATATACTATTTAATAATATTTTGTAATAGAAATAATTTTACCAAATCTATTACTGCAGGCCTTGATTTATGGCTGCTTGGGTTTAATGAATTTTTTGGAAAACAAATGAATTATGGCTTTTAAGTTAAAACGTTTCTACTATAAATACATAATCTAGAATCTGTTTGATTAAAGCTCTAAAATTCCGTGTAGTTTATTGACTTAATAATAAGAAATATTGTAAATATTTTCCGAAACCTGAGTTCAAAGTTACCAAGGCCAAAGTAGTGAGCCTTTCAGAGCTTAAAATAACAATAACTTTTTAGTACTCATTCAAACCTTTTTAAACTAGTTCAAGTGGCAAAAGATAAAACATTGTTTTTAATGATTAATGTAAAGTCGGCGCACGCTTTGATTTATGAGGTATTTTGATTGACTTTCGCCCCGAAACACCCAAAAATGAGTTATGAGACTTACCGAAATAAATCGATTGTGGAAAACCCAAAAAAGTTACGTAATCGAGGCAAGGGCTGCTATACCCCCCCATATTCTACCCACTAATTTTTTATTTTTCTTAATTTGATGATTGACATAGACCATACGTAACCATGATGCACTTACTGACATGTCCAGCCACTACGCCCATATGTGGGCAGACCATTGTGGATCCAGCTTCCAGCGAAGGCGTGGCCAACTTGGACGGGTCCACGGATCCCAAATTGGCCAACGCGAGCAAATTTTTTACAACTTTAACGACTTCTAATTAAAAACGAATTCATATCCCGAGCTATTTGGTGATCATTAAAGTGTAAAATAGTGCCTGGGCCGAGGGCGCTGGTGTTCGGTACGCGGAGTGACGCCGTGATTGATTTATTGGCTGACTATGGTCCGAATCCCCCGGCCATATAAGCCATATACCATATGCTATTCGCGGAGAGCGACAACATCATCGCAATCGGATGAAAAACGCGCCGGGGCCTACGTGGCGTGCACACAAATCGAGGACATTCCGATTTGTCCGACCGATACAGTAACAAGCACTAATTGAAATGGCCATTTAAAAGGAAAGTGTCCCAAGCGTCGGGCACCTAAAAGTGCACCCGATCTCGGATCGGATTGGGACCCATCAGAAGCTGTCACTGCTCTGGTATTTTTTCTTTGCCGACTGACACATTTCGCAACATTTTGGAGAAACGCGAGCGTTAATTACAAAATATGTGCGCTGTTTGAAATCAAAATTTATGCAAGGCAATAGCAGCTTTTTGTCAAAACGCCATCAATATGCAATTTTTATAGCCGAAAGAGTCTCATGTGATTTGCGCAACCCGTTGGGTGAGATCTCGATCTCGATTTGGATTTCGATCTCGTGCCCAGGCCCACGCCGCCGCTGGGCCCACGATCTCCGGTTTGAAATGGTCACTGTCGGCGAATTTTCGTCGTTTTCCGAATCCGGCAGCCATTTGGATATTTTCACACATGCCAAGAGTGCAATTTGCAATCGCCTTAGATGCGACTCACTAATTGATTCTTAACTGTCTTGCGCCAGTTTCGGTGGGCCAGTCGCCGGTTCTGGTTGACAATTATTTTTATGTTTTTGCCCGCAAAAGGCAAATTAAAATTGTCCAGCATTTTTCTTCGCTTTTAATGACTTTTTACGACTTCTCATCAACATATCTCTCAGACGAAAACTTTACGTTGCACACTGATCTTTATCTCGTGGTGCAAGCCACATTATTTATGCTTTTTGAATTGCGTTGAAAGAGGCGAAAATTCAGAGTTTCGTGGTAATTATGAAAAACGAGTTCACATCGACAGCCATTCAAGCAGTTATTTTTATCACATGCATTAAAAAAAATGAATTTTTAACTAGTTTTTAGCTTTGTAGTTATGTTTAATAAATGTCCCAACAACACTGATCTAGTTTTTGATTTCACATTTTGCGGCAAGCTTTAAATGGGAAAACTATTTGTATATAAATTAGCCTGCACTACTTTTTTAAATTTCATTGATTTTTGAATTAGTTATTTTGCTTTAATAACTGCCTCGATCCACTGAAATTCATTTAAGCCACCACCTTGACTTAAGTCAGGCTTAAAATAGTTTTCAACGCCTCCTTTGAAAGCCATTAAATGTTATTAGCTTTGACTTTAAGAAGTCAGCGTAGTTTAATTGAATAAACACTTAAAAATAAGTGTGTTTATTAAACGGCTAATATTTTCTTAGAGGCTGTGGTTACATAGAAGAACCTTTATTTATTATTATTAACCTTTATTCTTTTTGAGACCACTTAACGCTTTTAATCTATAATTATAGTTCTCAAATTGGTAAATGTCTTTCGCTATACTAACAAATAAGTAAATTCATTATCTTTACAGAGTGATTACATGCTAAATTTGTATATGGTACATCTATTATATTACGTATACATATAGTAAAGTTTACATTTCTATTGGAAAAACACCTTAATTTATACTTATAGACATTTAGCAGGTTTTAAAATTGAGAAAATAATTCATGGAATCCGAATTTTCAAGTCTAAAAG